TGTTCATAATTTAGTCATATTATTAAGCACTTTTATGCCTCACTACTTACAACATTCTGATAGAACACCTTTTTAATTGGCTTAATTACTAGTTCTTTCTTTCAGTACTTCGAGATTTATTCGTCTTGCCATAATTTTTTTATTATTGATTTTAGTGCATTAACTGCTCTAACAATCTCTCCTGCTCTAAACAGTTGAGCTGAAATACCAACTGGTCCTTCTGCTTTATTGAGCTTTAACTTTCTGATTGCCTTCACTATTTCTCTAATGGTTGGTGCCTCTCTTTCGATTGAAATGTCTTCCCTAATATTTAGTTCTTGGTCTTCAAATTCAGTACCTTGGGTAGGTGTGTTGCAAAATGTTTTCTCCATCTGTTCGATTGTTCTTAGATTCACTTCTATTCTTACTCTTTATCGTTCTTAATGTGTGGTGGTTCTTGTTAAAGAGAAAATAAATTTTTCTATATGGTAATAAATTATAAATTTTATAATTTAAAACTAAATTTTTTTCCCAATAAAATATTTTAATCTTATAATATTTTTTTTATCATAAATTGATGTTCAAATCAGAGTATTTAAGTTGATTAGATAATTTTTTTAAATAAAATTGAACAACAATGTGAAAAATTTTAACTGTCTTTAATATTAAATCGATTTAAACTAATTATAAATTTTATTAGAATTTTAAATTGCTCTAAAGATAAGATTGTATACGAAAATATTGGAAATACATAAAATTTACGATTTATCAACAATTTAGATAGCAATTTTCATAGTACTATCTTCTAAGGTCAAAAATTTTTGCTATAAAAGATAAAGCGTTGTCATGTATTAAACCATGGTCATTAATAGCACGTAGAAGTTCGATAGAGATTATAATGTAATCCTGAAAGAAAATACTGGGAAGGGAAGAATCTATAAAAAACAAAAAATGCTGATCTATTCAAGTAGAATGAGCGAGTTACTTATCTTAAACTGTTTTCAGTATTGAATTAAAAAAATGTCTTAAAATTGCAAATTTAGATTGTAAAAACGCCTTTGAAAAAATTTTCTTATAAAATTTTTCACTTATATCACAGATTATTTTTGGAAACAAATATTTTAATAAGTTTCCTCTATCTACACCTATTCTACATATGCAACACATAGAAAGTTGAAAATTATTAAGAACAGCTACTATCAATTTTACCGCAAATCATTTTTCCATAAGTTTGCTAAACAAAATCAAAAAAAATTAATTTAGGTATGCCATCACAAACTTAAAAAATTAATTTTTTATCAGATTTAATTTTCTTACTTTTGTTAATCCGAGATATTTAAACTTCTTCTATACAAACAAAATAAAAAATTATCTTTTAAGTCAAATAAATGTTGAAAAGAACAAAACTTTGAACCAATCATTGAAGATTTTTTTCTTACTCCTTCTCATTGACCGTAAAAGAAATAGAAAGAAAAACTTTTGATATCAATAATTTTTTTCTGCTTTTTTTATTTGTTTTGCGTTCTATTTTCATTGTGTTTGTTTGTCTCTCCCTTTTGTTTTTTCGAACAATTGAATTTCAAGAATTTTTTGAGTTTTTTATAGTTTTGACATTATTTGCAATAGATTTACATAGAATAAAATAGAATATCCTTTATGCTGATAAGTTTATGTATAAATGTACATATATGTATATAATATATACGAACTGTAACACTGCTGTTGAAAAGAATAGAAGGAAATATAATTTTAACAAAAGAAAAAAATTCACACGCACAATTGAAACTTCATATATGTATAATTATCATCCATAAACTATAAAAATTGTTCGGAATTGGAAAAAACAACAGTTTTATATAAAACTAAATTTTATTGAATCCTATGGTACAAGAAATAAATGTTATGCTTTGGTAAGCAATTCTTAGTGTCATTTCAAACTCAAATTATTAATTATAGTTTAAGTGAATTCTCTTGAAAGCATCTCAAAATTACCTATTTTGAATGAAAAATTGTCAGATTCAGTTCTGTGGAATCTAGGAAAATGAGCAAAGAAATAGTTAACTTACGTACACAGAGCAGTCATATATTCTCCAATTCATCGTTATTAAATGTAAATTATTTTTTACAACTAAAATTTCAATCAACAATATTAATTTACCTTAAAATAATTAAAATCACTATGGAATTTATTGTAAAATAATTACAAAACGAACTTCAATTAAACCTTTCAATACAAAAACAATAATTGACAATACAAGAGGTTATTGCGAGCCATCTTGCGGAATCAGTTTAAATTATATATTAACTAATCAACTACATTAAACTAATTATTAAGTAACAATCATGATTTATAAATTCATTTTTAATTAAATTTTCATTTATGATTTTATAAATTATCATTTTTAACAAATAAGCATTTTCTAATATTAAACACATTTCGTTTTTTACATAGCTTAAATTACAAGTTAAAAAAAATTCTTATTCAAAAATTATTTATTCGTAATTTATTGTCAAAAAAAAAAAAAAAAAAAATATTTTGCTCCAGGCGAGGATCGAACTCGCAGCCTCGGCATAGCTCAACACTTACTGTCTATAAGTACCGCGCGCTAACCAATTGCGCCACTGGAGCCACAAAACTATCAGTGAAAATATTGTGTTTTATAATTGTTATAAATTTTTCAATTTTTCTTTTTTTTATTATTACTATTTAATTAAACTATTTTGAAAATTGTAATCATTTTATTCAAATATGTATAACATTAAATATGTTTCAGTACATTATACATAATTATAAATACATATACACTTTTGTACACAAGTCATATCTGCAAAAATAAAATTGAATAGTGATTCATTAGAAACTCGTAATCACTTCGTCTTCTTTAAATTGTTTAAGCCATTTTGATGAGTCATTACAAGGTTTTTATATTTTGTATATTTTTATGTTTTATGTAGGAAATGTCTACTGAAATAAATTTAATATATTTTTCCTATTCGTTTCAAAATTCAATTCTTTCTATATACATATATGCAACACTAGATAAATAAAATATTAAAACGAATGAATGCATGCAATTATGTATAATAGAAGTGTATATGAATGTGTATTGCTTAGAATTACATATTTATAGGCGCTTAACAATAAAAATAATATATTTTTTGAATTATTTAAAAATTCATGTGTATTGTTCTTTCATACCAAAATTGTGCTTTTAATTTACAAACATATGTATGTGCGTAATAGCAAACTGTCATCTGTCAACAATATCATTCATTATCAAAATAACTTAAACGAAAGTATGTAAATTATAAGTATTATAATTGTAAAAAAAAACAAAGCAGAGAACGGCAAACGATTTCCGTTGTTAACACAGAACAATAGCAGAACGACGAAATGAAAAAAACTGCCTAATTTTTTAAAAGAAATTTAGGCTATTTCACCGCTGGCGGTTAAAATCGCAGTAGTAATTTCGTTTAATTCTGGGCAGTGTTATTTAAATTTATGTTTTCTATATGAGTTTTGACATTTCGCCACGGAAAATACTTCTTGTTTTGTTTGCTACTTAAAATTGTATAGCGCTTCCATGTTATAAAAATTTGGTTCAACTTCTTGGTTGTAAAGAGAAAAAAATTCTCAGACTTTGTTTTATTTACAGTGTCCGTACTTTTTCGTTTCTAATGTAATTTTTTCCGGTTATATCCAGTGTACAATTTTCATATAACGTTAAATAACTTATCAATATACACAAACATGTATTTAAAATTTCTAAAGTTAAATTACTTTTTGTGGGCTCCATTATTTTATGTATATGTTTACTTATATTCGCATACATGAATATGTGTATGATTGTATAAATAAACAGAATATAAGAAAAATATATGCCATACATTTTAATATTTGACCTTTTCTTTTGTGTTCAAAGGCTATAACGTTTCATACAAAGTTCACTGTATGTGCGTGCATACATGTATTATTAATTAATGCGAAATGAGATATTTTTTTTTAAATAAAAAATTACAAAAAATACTTAAGTGTTTTTTATATATTTAAAGTAAGTAATTAATGGTAGAAGATTTAGTCCGTTCTAAAACTGTAATCAGAAATTTTTTAATTTTCTTTTATTATTAATTTAGTTGCTGTTAATCAAAAAGGTATGTCTTTTTTATATCTTTGAAACTGGCAGCTTCCGAAACTCCGCCCTTGTGTGATACTCCATAACGAATTTAATTAAAAATATTACTCGTATCTCATACGAGTATACACATGAAAATTTTATAAAAAGTTGAGTATTGCAATACTCTTTATCATTACAAGTGTTTATACAACGACTTTTGCATCAAAGGTCAACGTATTGTGTAAACACGGCTATTTAACTCATTTTTTGCGTCAAGTACTTTGAATTTTATAGTGGTAATGTTTTTAGTACTCCTTATTTCTTTCAGTGTCTTAATATATTTGATTTATAAAATGTTATATAAATTTGCGACGACATCGCCATCTATTTCTTGTCTTTTCCTTTTATTATTTTGTATTACAATTATTAAACACACACTTACATATATAATATAAATTTTATAAAAGATAAGGATCGCAATAAAGAAAAATTCAAAAATATAAAACTATGTATAACTATATTTTTTTACCTGCATAAGTATTTTTCAAAACAGTTTTGCATGCAATTTATTTAACAAGTTATGTTTAACTAACAAAAAAGGATTACGAATGTGAAATATTTGAATGCCTCTGCATGTACAGAAATTTTTTACAAAATTTTTTTAATTTGCTACGCATACCCCCTCTACGTTATGTAAGAGAAATAGGTATACATACTGAGTTTATACAAATCACTGAATTTAAAACAAAATCTTATTCGATTTTACTACATAAAAACTACTCAAGTTTTAATGAACAGAACTACTTTTAACATCTATTTAAATGCGCAAACATCAATAAAATCACATTGTTATTCCACAAATTAAGCATTATCAACTTATTAAAATTTTATTTATTTTTTTTACAGAACCGGTTGTTGTACGTTTCGCTGGACGTCGTAAATCAGTATTTGCCGAAGCCTATGATCCAGAAAATGACCCTGATGAAGATGAAGGTGCTGCAGCAATATTCCCAAAAACGGATGAACAACGTTCACGTTTAGTTGAATCTGTTAGAAACATTTTGCTATTTAGGTCATTAGATAAAGAACAGGTGAGTTAAAGACATTTGAAAAACTAAAATTAATTTCAGGATTAAATTGCCATGCTAGGTTTTTCATTGAAAGTACTTGTTAGTTAACACAATACTTTTAAATAAATTATAAAAGACTGCTACCAGTCTACTAAAGTTTTCTTATTTTGTTTAAATTTATTTTTAGATGAATCAAGTTTTGGATGCCATGTTCGAAAAAAGAGTCGTACCTAAAGAATACATCATTCGACAAGGAGATGATGGTGATAATTTTTATGTTATTGAATCGTAAGTTTCAGTTTTAAATTTAGGAAAACTACGTTAAAGAATTGGGGGTATTAAAAATTTTGAATTCAAAAAAATAAAAAGTGAATTTTAAATTGAGTGCCAACTTAAAATTAAATCCACAATAAAAATAGAACATGATAGAGAACTAAGGCTAACACTCTACAAGGGTGTTGACAAAATTTAACAAAAAACTTGAATTTTAAAATTTTAATTTTTAATATTCCAATAATATTAAGATTATCGAGTTTAATTTTCACGATATCGTGTTGAAATTTAATATTAAATTGGTATTTTTTATTTTTTGTACAGTGGTGTGTATAATGCTTTTGTTGGCGACAAATTAATTCACACGTACAACAATAGCGGCAGTTTTGGTGAATTGGCTTTACTTTATAATATGCCGAGGTAAGTTAATTGAATAATTAAACTAATCATATTAATATTTAATATTCGTGCGAATTCATTTTTAATTGAATTTTCAATGTAATTTTTATACTTTTTAATTTCTTATTTAAACTAATCAAGAACTCAATTCAAATAAAATCACATTAAATATAATTAATTATCCTATATTCACTTGAATTTCATGCTATGTAGTCATTTATCAAGTACATACCTAATTACATACTTATTTGTATCACTTTTAAATTTGTAAACGTATAGTCATGCAAATGGTAACAAAATAATTAGTATTCAATCTAAATTTATTACTTGAGATTAGTTGAGTTTATAAAAAGTAAACACACGCACTAAGTTATTTAGTGAATATTGTTGTAATCTTAGTATAAGTAAAATTCAAATTAAAAGTATTCATGGCGTCTATTACAATTCGCAAATTTCCATTTGAATTGATTTTAATTTATTTATTTTGTTCATTTTTATTAGTAATTAATTCTTAAAATATTTGTATTATTTGTAGAGCTGCAACAATTCAAGCTGATTCAGAAGGATTATTATGGGCAATGGATCGTCAAACTTTCAGACGTATTCTACTTAAATCAGCATTTAAAAAACGAAAAATGTATGAAAAGTTATTGGATAGTGTTCCTATGTTAAAAGCTTTACAGGTAAATGAATTATTGTATTTATAAATTAGCTGTTTAGGTTTTGCATTAGGTACTAATAAATTCGCTTTCGGTTTCCAAACGTTTGCAACCCGAGATTTAAAAAAACTGAAGATTTCTAAAGATTGCCTCGCAATTTGAAGCGAATGACACAATTTTTTTCTATTTTCATAAATTCTTATGGGCTATTAGGTTCTTCGGACAGCAAACTAATTTCCACTAATCAGACTAATCTGAAATTCTTAAAGATTTCGCATTTAAAATCATATTTATAACAAAATAAATTTTTCATTTTTATCAAACTAGTTAACTAAAGTGAAAATTTATTGGAAATTAAGGCAGTATATTTCTGCAGGCTTCAAAATATCTATGTTATGGTTACATACCATTTCTTAAACAAACAAAAACAAATTTGTAATCTTGAAAAAGAAAATCATTAAAATATAAAAACAATAGCTGGAAGAAAAAAGGAAAGGAAGTATAAAAATTACCTTTGAAGTTTACAAAATATAAAAAACACAACGGAAAAAAAAACAAGGAATCCTTATCTCGAACAGGAAAAAAGGTTTTTGCAAAATAAACCGTAGTATTACACATAAAATTAGTGATAATATTGTAAATTGATAGGGTTTAGAATCAAAACAAATATTTATTAGAAAACTAAACAAGAATTCTATATTCTATTTTAAATTTTTTCACAAACTTTCCATTTAAAATCATAGAAAATCTTTTTGTAAAACACACATAAGTTTTCTTTTTAAAGGATCGTATTAGAACTACTTAACTTTCAACAAATTTTATGAGTAATAATGAGAAATAAATCGAACTTATAAACGGGAACTTCGAAAAAAGTTTACGTTAGGGACTACGAGTAGGTAATTTTAAATTATAGGTATCTTAAAAATTTAAAACCCATTAATGTTGGTTAGCCCTCTAAAATGCTTTGTTAAAATTTTAAAAATGAAGCAAAAATTTTATTTTGTATATTTGTAGAGTTACGAGAGAATGAATTTGGCTGATGCTCTTGTATCCAAATCTTATAAGAAAGATGATAAAATTATCAGGCAAGGTAAGGAAGCACAATATATTAAATTATTTGTTTTTACTATTGCCAAACTGGAAACCATGGAAATTCAGAGCAAAATAAATATGTTTGAACATTAATATTGCCTTTTGTAAGTAAGTGAACCAGAAACCACTTAAAACAGCTCTATCTTCTCTAGTTTGAACAGGAAAAATCGTTTAATATTGTTTTCCAAATAATTAATGCAGAACAGTGGTAAAGTGGTTCGGAATTTTTCATATTTTCTTCATAATTGTGTAACTCAATTCAAACTATTTGAAGATGCCGTGTAGTATTGATCTGAACACAAATTTCTTGTCACTTCTTATAAAGCTATAATTTCCTAAAATAAACAAGCTCTTAAAAAATTTCTTACATAATTTTAATATAAGTTAGAGATTTACGAAATTTTGTTGTCATTACATTAGCTGAATAAAATTTTTTATCCTTATTCCAATTTATTTGAAAAGGTGATGCTGCTGATGGTATGTACTTTATTGAAGATGGAACATGTTGTGTCCGATTAACAAAACCAGATGGTTCTGAAATAGAAATTTCAACATTAGAAAAAGGTGCATACTTTGGTGAATTAGCATTGGTTACCCATAGACCTAGAGCTGCATCAATTATTGCTGTTACTGATGTTAAGGTGGCATGTAAGTGTAAAATTTCCAATTTCGTTTAAAATCATTAAAAAAATCACATCAAATAATTTTAAACATTTTTACTTTCAGTTTTTATTTAAAATTTTTATTTTACAAAACAAATTTTAATATTTTTCAGTAAAAATTCCTTATTTTACTAATAAATTTATAATTTTTATTTTTTTGTTTTTCTATTTTGTATTTTGCGTTTTTATTTTTTCTTTTTTTATTTTCATATTTTTTAACTTTTCGCATTTTGAAATTAACTGCTAACGTTTTGCAATTTATCATAATTCTAAAAAAAAAATCTAAAAAAAAATGTGTGTTGTAGTCTTAGAAACTGGATGCTTTGAGAGACTTTTAGGTCCGTGCATAAATTTAATAAAACGTGGAATTCGCAATTACAAATATTTAGATGATGATTTGCGTTTAGATATACTTGAAAACAGATTCTAACAGAAAATTTCATTTAAAACATTGTTAATTATTAATTTTTAAATAAAACATAAATAAAAAATTACTTTAATTATTGAATAACGTTGTATTAAGGAACACTTAAACGATCACATAACGCGTTCGCGAAAATTATTATGCGCAAGTGAATTCAATCGTTTTAGAAAAACATTCATGAGTGTGTCAAACGATTTTGATATTTGCTTTCGTATGTACGAGTATAACTTTAGTTCTGAGCTGGATAATTGATTATGGAAATTGGCAAAATAAATGAGGATTTGAGAATTTCATGAAAGTTTTTCTCAACATATCTCTCCAGTAAATTATTATACAATCCAGAATTCTGGGTAGAAATTTTTGAACTGCCATTATTAATTGATCGTTTAAGAGTGCCTTTGAATATTTTACTAATTTATGATTTTTGTATTTGTCGCTCTGAAGTTTTTGTTGTAATAAAGTATTTTTAAATAAATATTTACAATTTTTTACACATACTTAAAGTGAAAAATCGTAAAAATTGTATTTAATCAAAAGTAAAAACTTTGGAGTTATTTTTAAGAATTTTTTTCCTTTTTTTTTTCTTACTTGTTTATGATTACAATTTTTAATTTTAATGTAGCTTTAGTCTTAAAATTTTAGTATTACAAATATAATAATACAAAATTATTCAAATTTAAGTGTAATCGGTAATGAAAAATGCACGTTAAATTCTTTTACATCTTAATCGATATTGCAGTTAACAGAAGCATTGTAATTTTTAATGTTGTCAACAGAGATGTCTAAATTTGTAGTGTAACCGATAATGCAAAAAACGAATGTCACGTAATTAATAATTTTAATTGACATTATTGTGTTTTTAATCGGCTGATTTTATTTTTAATTTTATTTATTGAAATTAAGATGTAAAGATATTTGTTGTTAAAGCAATTGCCAACTGGGTACGAGTATATAATATTCAAAAGTTTTTTTAGCATAAATTGTTGATTGCCGGCTGTAGAGCGTCAGATGTGCAATTGTTGTCCAACGAAATTTGATATTATCGATTACACCTTTTGATTTAACATTAAAAAATAATAAAATGCAGTTAGTAATTACGAAACTTTATAATCAATTTTCAGATAAATATTTTTCATAACTTATTACGAAAAATGCAAAATTTATTTTTACACTTAGTTTTTTATTGAAAAGAAATTTGCCTTTGCGAACTGTTGACGACTTCTGCCTGAAATTATTTGCTCTATACTCTACAATATAGCATAAAGCGAAGGCGGTCGGAGTGGCCATCTTGATATTAAGTAGTTTTATTCAAAAATTTAGCATTTCTATAAACTTTTGTTGAGATATGAAAATGTAATTGCTAACTACATTTTATAAATTAATCTTTTGTCATGAAGTAGAAGTTTAATTTTTAAGAAATATTAATGGATATTGTATTCAATTAATATTAGTTTTTATAGTATAATTTATTTAAATACACAAAAAAAATATTAAACATTAGAATTAACATTAAAATTTTTGATAAAATTTAATTATTTTAATTGTTTTGTCGATTTAAATAAGTTGATAATAATCAAGAAAAAGTCAAATTTTGTATGTAAATTAAAATTTTAATCGTATTTTGCTTTTCTTGTTTTATTGCTAATTGTTAAAGTATTTTTTAAAAATTTCCTGTTTAATCTTTTAGTTTGTTATTTTTTTTTTTGTTAATTTTATATTTTATTAATTTTATATGGATATTTTGAATTAATTTGTTAATTTTTTCTATTTCTTATTGAATTCACTATAATTTCATTTTATTTTAAAAAAAAATTTTTCTAATAAAATTAAATTTTTTGTTTAGTGTTAAAATATAATTGAAATATTTTATAGAAATTGTCACTTTAAATTAAAAGTAATAAAAATTTTTCATAACAAATGTCAAATTAAACAGATGTCACTGTAATTCAAATTTTGACATTTGCAATTATGTATAATTTTAATTTTCTATTGTTTTTGCTTGCTGTCATTTTCTAAATTTTTTTCTTTGCATATTGTAAACAACAAATGAAAATTGTTAATTTTTCAATATATTTTAATAAAATTTTCAATAATATTCAACCATACATATGTATATTGTTGTAGTTCTACCCTGTGATGCATTTGAACGTCTAAATGGTACATTTGTTGATATTATCATAAAGAATTATTCAAGATATGAAGAACAATTTGAAAGAATTGTTTTGCAAGATAGAAATTGTTAAATATTGTTCATAATGTACATTTTATATAAAAATAAATAACAATTATTTTATTCGAATTGATTTCAAAATTTAATAATAATTGTATATTTTATTCGTAAAATGTTTAGTTCTAAATAATTTTATTTTATACTAATTCATAGATTCGTAAAATGTTTAATTTAAATTGTTTTATATTAATTCATTAAATCATATACCTTTAATTAATAAAATTCTACATATATAAGTGTGTTAGTATAAGACTATTGTGGCTCTTATACATTTCGTTAATTGTCGATGACTAACTTTTGAAAAATATCATCACATATTGAATTAAGCTAATTATTAACTAATTACTTTAAATTTGTATTTCACATATGTATGTATAACAGCAACAAATTTAATAATAACGTACCGTTAATCCAAATTAATTCATTAACGTAATATTCATCCAAGATGCATTGAATAATATCAAAATGAAAGTTTTGTTACTAATATAATTCAATTATTAATTTAATTTGTGAAATTTGTAATTGTAAACTTGAATATTTCCTCTAATGGGAAAAATAGCAAGCACTTTAGTTAACTAAAGTAGCGAGGTGGTAACCCAAGACTGCCATAAACATTTCTTTAAATCAATTCATAGTTAAAGACTTGTCGGTATAAAGTTAAAAAAATCAAAAAAACATGTTAGAGACACGATTTTAAAGTAAAAAATAATTAAAACATTCAAATAAATATTAATAAGGGTAACATTTAAATAGTGAGCCTTGTATTAATTCAAATCTTAATTATGCCTGAATTTGATGTCAATAAATTAAAATTTATTTGTGTATTAAATTTAAAATAAATTTAAATAATAATTTCACAATATTTTGTATGTTAACTACTTATATACTTTATTTTTAATTTATTTATTCTTGTTATTTTTAATATAAGAATGTAAGAGTAATGTTTTTATTTTAAGTTTTTGTAAGCATGTTAATTTTCTTTTAATCCAAAATCATATTTTCAAAAACTAATCAAAACTTCTTTGAATTAACCAGCATGTTTTTTTTCTGTTCTGGTAAATATTTTTTTTTGTTTTTAATATTTTTATTTAATTTATTTATCATTAAAATTGTTTTAAATAAATTTTTTTCTTTTTTGGCAATTTCATCTAAAAATTACTAATTTTTACTAAAAAAACATAATTAAATAATTGTTTTGATCGATTAAATTAGTGTTGGGAAACAACTACACCCTTAAATTATTTGTCAATGATATGACAATTAAAAGTAGGGATTGCTTGCCTAATAATATTAATTTGATAAAATCATAAATCAAATTCAATATAAAAGATAATTCATCTAAAACAAAAATATTCATACTATTTTTTTTTATTGCTAAGTACCGCGAGACGGAAAAACGCAATGTCAAACACCAAATTTTTTCTTTCAAGAATTTTTTTCTCTTCTTTTTCTGATTTGTAAGATTCGCTCAGTTTTGTATTCCTTTCAAAAATTTGTTTATTTGTTAGTTACTATTATTTTTTTGTATTCAGTTTATGATGGAATCTAAAAAATAGAATTCAATTGATCTCAAATAATTGATAACTTTTAATATTCTAGTTTCTACATAAAAAAAAATGTTGAACATATTATCGTTATTTTTTCCTATTTAATTTTGTTAAAGGAAATTAAAGTACATTCACCGAATTTTAGATTTTTAGGTCATATTTATGTTTTTTTGTTTTGTTATTTTATTTGTAAATCAAAAAATTTTTGTAATATAACTCTTTATTTACATACATATAATATGTGTACATTTTATAATATTATTTGAATACACGCAATAATTTTCTTCTTTCTTATATTCATTATTTATTTTATTGGAACATAATCTTGTATGTATATACTCGTATATAGAGGTCTATATATAGAGGTCACGAAGTTAATATCTACAAATGTACACATATTCTCCATAATTCTTATGTATATATTCTACAATATTTATATAATATTATATTTTATAAAAAAAATTTATTTTACATTTTTAAAAGATGAGAAAAAGTTGACTGTGCGTAATAAAGATTTACGGTAGACAACAAGGAGACATCAGTAAAATAAATTTTAGATTAAAGAGAAAAAAAACACTATATTGTAATTGTATGAAAAATAAAAGAAGATTTGGAAAAAAAAATTCATTAGTTCTCAAAACAAACTAAAAAGGAAAGAAAAACTTTCCGAAATTAATAATTAAATGTTTATGCTGATTTCGTTGCAAAAATTGCAAATTTGAATATTTAATTATTTGTAAAAATTGATTTCAGCATAACTTTAATCATAAATCTAAATTATATTAAGTTTCTTAAAATATTTAATAAATTTTTTTAAAAAATTCACACCTTTCAAATTATTCTACTGCAATATTTTCTTAATATTTTGGTTTTTAGAATTTCTTTACTAAAGAATACGAGGAATTACGAGTATTATAATTTTAAAGGTTATATTTCTGACTTCACGTTAACTTGAAAATTCCCTTATAAAATATTCTTTCAAAAACTCAATACCAAGTTAATAGATAAGGTTGAATGAAAAATCATAAAGAAACAGTCATTTGATTTACTTTCATGAATTATTATAGGGAATTTTTCGATCAAAACAATTTTTAATTTAAATTATAAAATAGATCTTTATATAAATATTATTTTAAAAAAATTCATTAAAACACACTTGAAAAATAAATCATTTTCAAAATTCTTAATTGGAATAAAACTTCTAAAAATTACAAAATTACCATAAATAATATTTTTTTAACAATTGTTCTTAATAATTTTTTTCTTAATTTTAGTATTGGATGTCGAAGCTTTTGAACGTTTATTGGGTCCATGCATGCAAATTATGAAACGTAATATTGATGATTATGAGCAACAATTGGTTAAAATATTCGGAAGCAAAAACAATATTACCGATATCCGATAAGAAGTCTGATTTCAAATCATTCAATTTATATAAAAAAAATTAAAAATAATTTAAAATAAAAAAAAAAGTGAAATAAATATTATAAATAATTAAATAAAATAAAAAAAAGTACATATACATATATATATATATATAAATTTATATATATACATACATACAAAAATTATGTGTAAAGCTAAGCAGGAAAACAAAAGTTGTATTGTAACCTACATAGAGTAATTAAATTACAACAATTAGGTTTATATTTTAGATAAAATATTAAAAAAAATAAAAAATAATAAAAAAAAAAATATTTACATTGAAAAGCAAGAAGATTTGAATTTATCAAAGTAAATATTACTAAAAAAAAATGAAATAATTAAAAAATAAAATGAAATTTATATAGTTTTTTTATTATTATTATTTTCTAATTCTTGTTAAGTTATAATTGTATAAAATATAATTTTTATTAGTTAATAATATAAATAAAACACAATTTTCATGAGAATGAATCAGGGCAAATTAAGATTTTTGGGTTAAATAAAAAAAAAACATTTTTAAATCTTGAAAATTAAATCAACTATAATTTTATTTGAATTAGTAGTTTAACTGAGATTATGAACAATTAAAACTATTGAAAAAGAACTATTAATTGTATTGTAAATTATAAAGAAAATTATTATTATTTAACAATTACAATAAAATATTTTGCATTCTTAAATCAACACAAAATTCAAATAATAAAAAGTAAAAAAAATTGAAAAATAATATAGACTTTTAAAAAATACAAATGCTTTGTAAATTTCATTTTCTTCTTATTTAGAATCTTATTTTCGAAATATAATATTTCTTAAATTCACTTGAAAAATTTTATTTTTTTTTTAATTTACATATTTTAAAAAGAAAACCGAAAAAATTGTTTTTCTTGATTCATTCTAATAATCTAAAATGATTATAAATGCAAATTACAATGTACATTTTAGCTAAAAAAATAAATTATTTGTTTTATTTCTTTTGTTTAACTTTTAAATTAATTATTCTTTGAAAAAAAATTAATCTGATAAAGAAATTCTAATATTTTTTTAATATATCTAAATTATCATTATAATCATGTATAATTGTAAAATACTAAAAAAAAATATTATAAAATTGTTATTATTTTATCATTAAATTTTGTTTTCATTTTTAAATTATTGCCATATTTTAAATAAAATTAGTAATAAAAATGTTTTTTGAATTAAATATGCACAAAATAAAATTCAATTGTTTTTTTTTTTTAACTTAAATAATATAAATATAATAAAATTTAATTTTTAAATCAAAAAAATTAAAAATTTGAAATATAATTATTTTCGTTTTATACTTTAATTGATTTATACTTAAATTAAATTAATAAGTCTGTCATTTCATATTTTATTATTTTTGAATACATTGTTCTTTTAAAATAGCAATAATAAATTTTGAATACTAGCCAGCCAACAAGAACGTGTTTAAATAAATCACATTCTGTGTTTAAAATTTTTATAATTTGCAAATTTTTAATTTAAATATTTTTTTTTGTAACTAGTTTAAATATTTTTTCATTTTCAAAAATAAAATAAATATTATTCATTTAAATTTTAAATCATATAACTTTTTATTTAATTAATATTACCCTTCAATTAAAAATAAAACAAGAAAAAACTTATCAAAAAATTATTCAAAATATTTAATATTTTAAAAAAATAGTTAGAAAATTTAAAAATTTATTTTTAAGGTGAAAATCATAAATTATTGTTAAAATATTCTTTATTGTATTTTTATTACAACTTATAATTTTGTATAATCAATTTGTTCGGTTTCTTTTTTTGTTTTTTGGTTTTCATACAAAATGCAGGCTCAAAAAGAAAAATGTTATTTCTATTTATATGAAAATACATTAAAATACTAAATAAACAATATATTAGATAAGCATAAAATAAATAAAATTCGAAAAAAAATATAAAAAAAATATATAGAAAATTTATAATGTATAAGTTTCTAAATTTATGAAATAAGTGTCATACTTTCAAACATTGAACAAAAACAGCAAAAAAAGGAAAAAAAAAACTATTAAATTGAATCAAAATAGAAATTATAAGAAAAATTTAAAAATTATTGGAAAATTAGAAAACAAAACTTAAGACAATTTATTGACTTAATAATCGTAGATCAAAACAAATTCAAAGTTTAAAAAATAAAAACTAATTTTCGTAAATTATTTTGAAGTTAAAAACATTTTTTTTTGTGTTAATTTAATTCATTTCCTATTTAAAATTAATAATTTCCCTTTGAATTTAAGTTTGGAATAAAATAAAATTAAATTATAGTAAAAAAAAACCAAAGAGAACCATTTAAGAAGCAAAGAAACTTCATCAATTCAATATGCAATCTTAAAAACTTTTTAAACAATTTTTTAGTTCCCAAATTTTTTTTTCGTTAATGAATTCGATAACATGCAAAAAATAATATTTCATAGAGTTTCATAAGATTATTAAGTCAAAAATCGTTTATTTTATTAATTAAACCATTGCCATACAAAATCTAAAAGAATTAAATAAATATAATTACCAAGCAGGTGTAAAAATTTAAAACATTTTATCAAAAAAAAAAACACACACACAAAAAAAAAAAAGAAAAAAAAACCATTGAAAAAAATTGAAAATTATTTTTTAAAATAAGAAGAATTTCACATGTAGAAATTATTTTTTATACAAAATTCGCTATGCTTTTTTAGGTAAATCTATCAAGAAATCTTGAAAACTAATTATATAACCACAATTACAACAAAACAAAAGAAAAAAAGAACCAAATATTTTTAAAGCAAAATCATTTTTTAATATGATTTTTATGAAACATATTAAAAAAAAACAAATATATATAAATGTATATTTAATATTTAAAATACAAAAAACAAAAAATAAAGCAAAACAAAATCAATTAAATGTGCAAGCATTTAAATAAAACTTTATAAAAAAATTATTTATTTGTATATAATAAGCAAAAAAATTTAATTGAAAAATATTTCGATCAAAATTCGAAATTATATATTGGGAGCGGGGATATAAGAGTCTCGTCAAATCATTGAATAATAAACAAATTGTAAAATTAAAATCAACTGATCCGTATTTTAAAAATTAAAAATGTAACAATTTATTTCTTGTTTTTGTGTTATTGTGTTTAATTTTGCAAATTTTAAATTTAAAGGAAGATTATTGTATAATACAGTTATTCCCAAAATGGTCTATATAGACCCACAGGGGTCCATGAAGGCCTGCTAGGGGTCTACGAAAAAATATGAATTTAGTTCAATAAGTTTTTATATACCTTTCTCACATCATAGGTGTACCTTGCTACTGGTACAAATTTAAATCTATTAAAGGAAGTAGAAGGGGGTCTATCAAAAATTCAAAAACACGACAAGAGTTCTACGAGCGAAAAAAGTTTGTGAGCCTCTGGTATAATATAATAGTTCTCAATAATCAATTTGTAAACTCAACTTTTTTAAACAAATTTAGTTTAAGTGATTTTTATATTAACCATAGAAAAATCAAACTGAATTTTTAAGAAATTCATCAATTATTTTTGAATTAAGCAATTTTAAATTAATATAACAAAAATTCATAAATTCATAAATTTTCATAAATAACTCATTAATTTTTTGCCGATGATTTTATTGTAAAAATATCTTAGGGAAGAAAGTTATTCAATGGCTGAGCAAACCATTTTTGCAATTAACTATGAAAATAATTGTAAAATTGTAGACAGCTGTTTATTTGATGACACTCTCAATATATCAAGTTACCAAACACAATAAAATATAATTCAAATAATTAATTTGCATAAATTTAGGAGAAACAAAAACAATTCGTTCTTGCAACAATTCATTAATAGCAAAATCAAAGTAAAATACATAAATTTATATGTATTTAAAATAGAGTAAACATTTTAAAAATTATGTAATTATAAAAATATGAAAAGTAAAAAAAAAACAAAAAAAAAAATAATTGTAAAAAATTTAAAAAAATGAATAGATGTCATAATAAATTAAGTTTAAAATTAAGAAAAATTTCATATAATTTTTTTATTTGATTATTATTTTTAAATCTTATTGGATTTTACCTCCTATTGATAGATTTGCAAGTTGTCAAAAGCCATAAAAAATCGATATAGCCTCCCAAATATTTCAATATTTGAATAATGATTTCAATTTTACATCAATAGTCAATCTTGGATCTTAGTCAATAATCAAACGTCTTGGATCAATTGAAAAATTACTTTAGATTAAAAAATCGGCTTAAACAAAATGATTTTCAATTAACAATAATCACCTTTTCCTAATGTAATAAAATTACTTGCAAATTAGACAAGAAATAAAATTAACAAGTACCAATAAAATCAGCTACATATTAATTTTATTTCATAATATACATATTTCATTATTACTTCTGTTCTATTCAATATTTCGAATTTTATATGAAATTCTAAATATTATTTGTCATTTTTTTAGAAAACTATAAAAATAAAATTCTGCAGAGGTTTAAAAATCAATTCACAATTGGATTTCAAATTCAACAAGGATCTCAATTTTTCAAATAAAACGAGATTCGTAAATATTTGTTAATGAAAATAAAATTGAATGTTTTATATAATTGTATTAATTTAAAAAAAAAAAACTAATATATTAGATAAGTAATCAAATACATATTAAATGTAAGTATCTTAAGCAAATTAAAAAAAAAAATACCACAAGCAAAAGCTAAGAAAAGTGCTGGACGCTTTTATACAATCATAATAAAATAGAAATCAAATAAATATATATATTTGATGTAAATTTAAAATTTAATTATATTATTTAAATAAAAAGAAATATAATAAAAACAAAATTTAATAAAATTACACAAAAATACACAAATTACATATTCATTCATAATTTTGAAATATTTTTATAAATTACATATAAAATTTTCATATGAATTCTATTTTAATTTTGAACTTTACAAAAAAATCATTAACTATCCAGTATGAAATTAAAAAAAAAATATACAAGAATGAAATTATTAAAGAACTGCCATTGAAATTCTTTAAGTACTAATAAATTTAGAAAAATATTAGTTAATTTTTATTAAACTTATTGGAATTGATTTACCCTTGGGCTTATAAAAAATTTGATAACTTTTCCAATTTTTCTTTATTTTTTTTAAAGATTATGCGCTACAGAAGTTTCATTGCTTTGAAATTAAATATTTGTATACATATAGTGATGGAAAATCAGAAATTTATAAATTAATCTTCACTAGATATTCTTCATTATCTAGAAATTGAATTATCATTTATGGAAAAAGAGTTAATCGAAAGCAAATTACATTGGATTTTACAGATTCTCCCTTCAATGTGTTATCATTTTTATTTTTATACGAACCATGATAAGTTTAAATAATTAAATAGAAAATATATACTATATAACAATTTCAGTTTAACTCTCGAGAATACTTTAAGAGAATAACAAGTATACTTTGATATAAGGTTCATTGAAATAAATATACATATGTATATAATTTAAGGCACTGGATAGCCTAACTAAAAAATAATATAAAAAAAAATCTATACCACAGTTTATTATTGATTTTTTTTTTTTTTAATTCACTATATTATAAGTAAGCGTTCGAGAAATTTCTACAGGTAAGAACAAAATATTAAATTGCAATTGGAAATTTTAAACTAAATCTGAAAATAAAAATCTAAACAAAAAAAAATATTAAGCTAGGCTAGCTTCCGGTGAAGTAGTTAGTTTATGTAACATATTTTCAACCTTAGTTAAATTCTGTTCTTTTTTTAAATTTACGCGAATTATTATTAATTATACTATCCATTAAGTAATCCGTAAATTAGTATATAGAATGAACAATATTATAAAATACATAATTATCTTTTAATTTGAAAAAAAAACATTTCTACATAGAATAGAAAAAACCACAAACAAACTAATTAATTGAAAATAAATTATTAAAAATAATTGAATTATAAAAAAATTTATTATAATTTTTAAATAAGTTAATGAAGAAAATCATAATATAATAAAAGTGCAGAGCAAAATAATAAAGCTGAAAATATTTCTTAAGTCATAGAACAACACTAAACCACATTTAAAATACAAAAAATAAATTAAAAAAAAAAAAAACATAAATAAAATTAAAACAAGTTAAAAGAGAAATAAATCTTACTAATATTAATAAATGTATTTGTAAAATATATTATTAATACAAATGTTTTATTTTTCGATGCCCCTAAAAATTTCAAAATTTCATATTAATAATTAAATTCTTATTCATAAATTGTGTGGAAGTCAACTTGTTAAGTCAACATCTGAATATTGAACAATGAATAGAGAGCAGAATCTTCTATTATTCTATGGTTATCAACAGTAATATTCTTCGTAATACGGTTCCTTTTGAAATCAATTCCTAATTAATCTAAAACAGTATACATTTGTAAATCACTTTTATTAGCAATGTAAGAAGATACAGTAAGTATGTTCAAATTATACTTTGAAATCAAAGTAATGAAGGTAATACTATACAGCTACGTACTATCCCAGGAAAATATCTGCTTTAGTTTTTACAAGAGAAAAAAACTATTTATGTATAAGACGAAGACTACCAATTATACAAGTATATTTCAATTGAGATTTATTAAAACTAAATAAAAAATTTAATCATGGTAACCATAAAAAACAGAAACAGAACATTATCCGCATAAATTCCTTATTAAAATGTGGGAGATTTGCAAGTAATTACACATTTTAGTGGATGATCAAAAAGCCAATACTATATTTTTTAAAATATTGACCTTTTTTGTCAGAAAATCTGTATTTTTCTTTACATTTCTATTATCTTTCAAGTTCTTTTTACAATTTTGTTACTCGCCAGGTTAAACAAATCTAGATCTCGATGGAGTTAAAGACCGAATTTTATGTTTAAATCTTATTTTAAAAAAATATTTTCAGCTATTGTTTTAACCAAATTTTATGCCTTCATGTATTAAGTAGCAGTAATCTGATGATTTTCAACCTTGATATCTCCATTAATAATTTCATTTAGTATAGAGTACTTCATATATTAATAGCTCAATTATCACATCCTCATTTAGGATTTTACTAAAAACTTTGAAAAAGTAAAAATAAAGAGGTTTTTCCGTGTATCGCTTTATTCCAAAATCGTATTTAAAGCTATGTATATTATTTTTACTTCTTTTTGCTTTTTGTTTTCTGTTTTGTCATGGTTAGAACAAAATAAACCCCAGCCATGCATGCTAGTGGCTAGTCAACAAAAGTATTGCACTAAATGCAATTTATATATGTGTGTTATTGTAAACAATATTTTATTAACTATTTGCTTTTACTAGAAATCTTTTATCTGGGTGAGCTTTTACTTCTAATTCTAGTTTTTTAAGTATCCAACCTTCATCAGTTTTATCAGAGTCGAAGAAAATTGTTCCTAAAAAATAAAGAAAATAATTTAATAAAATAGGTCGTAGGTAATTAATGCAAATATGCATAATTTTTATAGTGACGCGACTAAAATTTTCAACAAAGTTTACATTATATAATTGTATAATTATTTTTGAAGTTAAAGTCAAACCAAATTTGCGCAAATTCCGAAAAAAAAAATTACAATCGCATTGTTTTCCATAGAAAATTCAACTGCAGGAGGTGGAGGATATCATGAACCACATAAATCTATTGCAAGATTTAAAATTCTTTGCAAGAACAGTAACGGCAAAGAGAGAAACAAGCACTAGCCGAAGTGTAATTAAAAGTTCCCATAGCGATACTAAAATTTAAAAAATCAAGACCGAAACCATGATATTGTTAATTACTTTGACCGCTTATTGCCTAAATTTACAATTATTGCACATATTTAACCGAATATAAATTGTAAGGGTTGGCACATTTGAGTAGCAACCGTTTCCAATACGATAACTTACTGGAAACAATATTGATGGGTGTAAATATACTTTATTAAATTTTGTATTTTTTCCGGAATTTACAAAATTTTTTAAGTAAAACAACAAGTGAAATTTTTTAAGGGTAAAAATGGAGCAAAAAGTAAGTTTTGAATTTTATTAAAATCAAATTAAATAAATAAAAACATAAATATTTCAAATTTATTTTATATGTATACGTGTATGTAATAATTTCTTAAAAGGATTCTTCAGGTAAAATGGCCAAAGGCAAAGATAAGAAAAAAGAAAAAGAGCCAGCAGTACCACAAGTGGATATTACGTTTTATCAGTTAACTATCACAGACTTAAATAATAAGCTATCAAGATTACGAAGTCATGTCGCTAAACTTGAAGAACAAAATGATGAAATGGAAGAAAAAATGCGACAACTAGAAGAAGATAGGACGGATATTACAGCACATTTAGAAAAAACTTTGAATGAAAAAATTGATAGAATTAAAGAAGTGGAAGAAGAACTTGAGGAAGTTACTAAAGTAAGAACTAAGGAAAAAAGAGAAGCTGCCGATAAAATCAAAGAATTAGAAAATCGTTATAAAACAATGAATGAGCAACTTACTTCTGAAATCAAATTACTTAATGGTAAATTGAATTCTTTAGAAGAGTTTAGAGTTCAAAGAGACGCTCTCCTGTCTAAGTTCGATGAGCAAGAACAATATGCAAAGGAACAAGAAAGAAAATTTCGGGAAAAAACTAACGAAATGGAACAACTACAAATAGTCGAAAAAGATAATTTAAAAAAGCAAGTTGAAGCAAAACTCTTAAAATTGTCTGAAGACTTTACAAAATCAAGTGAAATACGTATTGGTAACGTTGAAACATTAATATTCTATAATGCAAATATAATTTGAATCACTAAATTTATGTGCATACCATATAACACATAATACTATTTTAAAAAAAGAAATAACACATATTCTGAACAATAGCAATTAAATTAAAGCATTGAAAATTTATTTTAGCTGGATATACAAGAAGATTAATACGAGAGAACATTGCCCTTACAAAGGAAATGGATGCTATGATGATAACACAACAACGTATGGAAACTGAACACAAAGAAATGATGAAACAACAAAGAGAACAAACTGAGAAATTTCAAATTAACGAAATCACTAAGCAGCGTTTGGTAAGAACAGCCCAAAACCAAATAGAAATAATTGACAATCTTACAAAGCAATACGATTCTCTAAAAGAAAAATATATTAAACTTAACGTCTTTAAAAACTTATATGAAAACAGTTTAAAAAAAGATGTTGTCGATCAATTCACTTATGCAGATATGTCCAAAAAGTTACGTATTATGGGTCAGCGTGTTGAAATGCTCAAATCTGATAAACTTAAACTTATATCTTTACATCAAAAACATGAAAATGAAATATTGCGTTTGAGGTCAATAATAAAAAATATTCGCCAAACTGTTGCCTCTTGTATTAGAAGCGATCAAGAACCTTCCCATACTGAGAAAGATTTCCGAAAAAATCAAAGAGAAAATCTTCTGAATGAGCTCATGAAAATTATTGTAAGTTATGAAGAAGATTTAGACATAACACCTTCCGCCAGAACAATTTCATCAACTACAACAGCGTTTTATAAACCCGGTGCGGCAGGATTTGTTCCAAAATCTAAAACTTCTTTATTGGAATTATTCAAGCGTGAGGCTAAGAAAATCGCTTCTGCTGAATTAATTTCTCCAGAATACAAACAGAAAACTACAGATTTGAAAATTACTCCAAAAGCCCGAAATATCGATGACACATTATTTGATGTTGAAACAGGAGCAACACTAATTCTCTCTTCATCAAGTGAACATATACAACCACAGGAAGATGAAATTATTGAAGATTTTGATGTAACTTCTTCATCAGAAAGTGCTCCTAAACTTGATGAAAAACAAGTTGATGAAATAAAAAGTAAACAGTCGATTCAACCATCAACTGGAACTGAATACTCTATGGCTGAAGAAATGGAAATGGCTTTAGAAGAAATGGATGAAGAAGATGAGATTCAATTCTTCTATTAAAATTTTTGATAAAGTACTCTTTTACCTGTTCGAATAAAACAAAAGAATTATTTTTATCTATCTGCGTATTTCTATCTAATTATACGTTACCTTTATCTTTAGATCCTTTTACTGAAATTTCAAATTGTTCAATTTTTCCTCCTTTAAACCAATTTTTCGTTCCTGCTAATTCAAAGCCACTTTCTCTTATAGGTTCACCCAATAATTTAATCGCACCTAATTTATGTACATGATATACATGTGTATAAATCAAATCAAACTAAGAAAAATTTGCAATGAATTAATTTACCAGGATTCTTTCTCAGTTCACTCATTGCTTCTCGAAAATATTTTTGATTTCTTATTTGATCTTTTATCCTAAATTGCATATAAGCAACACTTGAAACACTAAATATAGCTCCATAAACAGCAATTTTCGCAAGAGTTTTATTAGAGGGGAATTTAAAAATCATTTTTTTAAACTACGAATATTATCTTTAATAAATAGGTAGGTAAAGGTACTATGTATGTACAATTTGCAATTGTCAAAATCTAATGTAGTATGCAAGAACATAACCTATTGTAAATAAACAAACAACATCTGATTCTAAATTTGAGGTTATGTTAAAAATTTTATAAACAAAAACAATTATTGACCCTTTTTATTTAAATAATATATTTCCAATATTTTCACACATTTGTCTAATTTTTTCATCGGATGCGTATTCCGCCATTAATATAGCATTACCTATTGCTATGGTCTCTTTTATATTGTTACCTTTTATCCATATTCTACCATTCATTCCCACAGCTATTTCATATGGAACTTCAATTTTAAGTGCTTCTAATAAAGGGCATCCAGGTCGAAGAATTTTTCGTACCAGATTAATGCTACATTTGAACATGAAACCATCTTTTAATACTCCAAGACGACCTTTTTTCCCTTTAGAATCAACACACACTAATTCAGGTTCCAAATCTTTTATTGCAAGTACCAATTTTGCAAAAACAAGATCCCCAACTACCACCGCTGGTTGGTTTTTTTTGGTAGCACCTTCAAAAGCTAAATAACTCAATGATGCCAATTCATGAGCGTCTATATCAACCCTAAATATATCTCCAGCTCTTTGTGTTACTATTCCAATGACTGAGTCTTTTTGTACTGGGACATAACGTTTTTGATAATTATCTATATAGAATCTATTTTTTTTACAACGAAGTATACCAGCTTTAGATGCTATAACTTTATCATTTATTCTTCGAAGCCCAGGACCTAATATAACTTCTTGAGATTTGGCTAAATTTTCAGCCTTCTCAATGTGTTGGCCCGGCATAATTATCTCATCATTATCCATTTTTGTCTTTTTAATTTGGAAAACTTTGAAAAAATGTGTACTTTTTTAATAAAAATTATTATATTTTTAATAAATCAACAAGCAGATTCACTTTACACAAACTTTGACAACTTCTCGATACAATATGCACATTGATAACAGGGATGGCATATATTTATAAATAAATTGAAACAAGCGCAATATAATCGCCGATTGTTTATTATAATCATTTGAAATAGATTGTAATATTTTTAATTCTTCCCTAAAAATTTTACAGAACAGAATTGTAGAACAAATTTCTTCAAGTTTTTATTTACATACAATATTTATATTTTTTCAGTTACCTATTTTGAAGCTGCATGAAATAATTTTAAAAAACAATAACTTTTGTTTATTGTAATTCGGATTCGTCTAATACAAATATAAAAATTATGAAAATCCAAACAATTTTAGCTTTCAACCACATTGGTCTATTGATTATTCGCAGATTCATAACTAAAACTAACGTTCATAAAAATAGCCTACATATTTTCAATGTTTCATTATCCGTTGTTATTTCATGTGTATATATTAGTGCGGAAAGTAGTGTACAAAACAGTTTTGACAAGAAGGATCCCATACTTTTAAAGACAAATTTCAAAATTTGAGTTAAGCAAAAAAAAATTAATGTACTATGAAAAAACTTTTTCCATTAATTTTTTTACAAAATTTGCTTAATTACCATATTTTGCAGAACAAACAAAAAATGCAAATTTAATATGTGATATATATGTAGAATGTCAAAATTTGTTATAAATAAATATGGAAATTCGATATAAAAATCGTACTTAGCCTCACTGCAAATAAAGTTTGAAATCAAAATATTGTACATATTTAAAATTAAGGTTACGTTCATTAGTTTCTGCAGAAATAAAAAGATTACCAATATCAAAATCTAAGTTATATAAAAATGAACAATGTTGGAACAAAAATAACAAATTTCGCCTTAGGATATAAAAATGGCGTCTCTCTCATGCTACAGAGCTTAAGAACTTATTCTGTAAGTTCTACAAAACCTGCCGCAGGTAAGATAGTGATAAATACAACATAGTATTAAATGACATATGTATGTATGTACGTATTTAATAAAAAATACCTACCCTATATCTTTCAGTAATTTGATGTAAATTGCCTATAAGTTTTTTATAAATTGATTGAAATGACCAAAATAAAGTGGAGTACATAAAAAATATTATATATTTTTAGCCACAAAGAAGAAGAAACTTGGAAAGCTGGGCCCCGTCATGGAGAAAAAAATTATTCCAGTTGAAACAGATCCTAATAAACTTGTAAATTATGTATGCGGAAGTAATTTGAAAAAGACTGGTGAAGATATAAAAATCAAACCAGACGCTGAATACCCTGATTGGTTGTGGGAGATGAACGTCGATAGAGTTATACCTTTAGAAGAATTAGATCCAAACACAAAACAATATTGGAGAAGATTACGAAAATTGGCTCTCAAAAGAAATAATCAACTTGCAAAACTACGAAAGTTTTAGTTTGTTTTTAGTTTTCATAGTAATAAATATGGCGATAAATAGTATCTATAACTTGACTTTGTTAGTTACTTTAAAGAATCCTGGATTTGCACTTAAGCAAACCATTAAAGCTTTGTACTGGTTTAATTAGGTTGCGATATCAAAAAATTCAATACAAATGGTAAATATGAAAAATTTGGAAACTTTGCAACCTACATTTTATTCTCATACATAAGATTGAACACTTGCCTATAAAAGGAACCAGACAGAAGCAGCATTCATGTGAAAATTCGAAAAAAAAAGATTTTGTGAATTAATATAATAACGGATTGATAATTGATATAAAATTTTATCATCACACTAATTCTATTCTGCTAACATTTTTTAACAAAATTTTATTGAAAGCAAGCTTTTACTGACTACATATACAAACTACGAGGGATTTGAGTATAAATAGGAATAGTTTAATATATGAACCCCTATTAGTTATGTATGTATCAAAATGCAATCCATTGTGAAGGTCAGAAATTAGGTTTTTTCGTACAAAGTAATAAGACTGTGTTTAGAAATTGAACGATCACAGATGTTGAAGCGAATATATCCGTATACGAGAAAATGCTGCCTATACACTATTTAATCAAGTATTTTCAAGAAATAACATATATCCTACAAATTTTTTTATTCAAATAATATAATATACATATATTAATAATAAATAACAATCTTATTCGATGTGTTGAGTATATTTTAGGAAACGAATTTTTTTCAAATTCTTAATATAACAATTTTTCTTGACCTTACACAAAATTAAAAAAAAATATTTTAGCGAAAAATTCGGGAAGTAACCCGGGCAACGACATGCAAAATATCATTGAAAGCAATTCCTGTTCCCTATGGGATCATTTATATTCTATGGAAACTATTCACGAATAAAATCTAAATTTGGTATAAATATTTATTAGGTTTACATTTATCCATTACATTAGTTCAATCAAGATTTTTAATTATTTCAATAAGTATGTTCCAAAAATAAATACTATTACAAATTTAAAAGATATTATTTCACATGCTCCCTTTGTAGATTTAATTAAATAAATAGTTCCTTTAAAAATATGGATAAATATTAATTAAATTCCTTAAAATAATAATTAACTTCCTTCATGTTATTCCTCTTTTTGATAAAAAATAATTGATCAACAAATAAAAACCCATTAAAAACGAAATTATAATTATGATTTTATGATATAAAAAAGAAAAATCTAAATTATCTTAAAGGTTACCGTTATATCATGGTAGTCGTTATTATAGTTAACACAGGCGCAAAGAAAGTAATACAAAGAGTAGTAAAAAAAATATATAAAATGCGTTGAAACCACGAAAGAAATTTATTTAGCATTAAACACTTTGAATCGGTACCAATAAAAAAGTGATACGGAACCATAAAATATGAAATCGAATAAAATTAATATTTATTTTGTTCGTGAAGCATATTTGAATAAAAAGTTCGTATGCTAAATACTATGATAAGGTCAAATTCTAAAACATTTAGTGATTTAGTAACTTCTGGTAATACCACTACTAATCAAAGTAATACGCAAAATAACACCAACGGTCATCTTCCTAAATCTCCTGTAAAAGTATTTCAAAGACAACAAAGTCAAGTTGATCCAGATCTTTCCCCAGTATTGCAAGAAAAACAAGTATTACATCAGCGATTGCAACAACAGTTTCAAAGTACATTACGACAACGGTTGATACATCAGCAATCTCTTTCTGGTGTTCAGCCTGAAGAAAGTTTTTATTTTAAATCTATTGAAGATCCATCTGACGCAGATTTTTATTCATCACAGTATAAAGTACCTATTATCAAAGAAAACGAAGAAAACTGGGTGAGAGCTAAAGCCAAAGGCAACTGGAAAAGAATCAAAGAAATTAGTAAAAAAGAGGAAAAACGTCCCCCATGGCAAGGGCCAAGCTTGTCAACATTAAACAAACCGGACAAAGATGCCTTACTTCGAGCGAAATTACTTGATGTTACAAGACGTATGCGTCAATCAAGGAACACTGTATCAACACAGACTGAAAACTTAAGTACAAAATTAATGAAAGAAGTATGTACAGATGTTCCATACGATCTTGTTAATATGATTGATGCTGAGGTTGCAACAGATGAATGGGTAACATTAAGACATGCTGAAGGACCTGGAATATTTTTATTTACTCATTCTATAGCACTTATGACCGACAGAATTTCAGCTGAAGATGAAACGACACAGACCCCCACTGTTAAAAATATAGCAGTACGTATTGATAATAAATATTTAAAGGCGCGTGTTAGAAAATTAGATGATGTTATTTCAAAACAAGATAAGATTTCCAAACAACTTGACAATATTAGAGAAGCTAATCGTATTTTAAATATACCTCAACCATCATTTGTTTATAAAAGTGAAGTATATTTAAATAAATTTTCAAATGATAAATTACCAAATAAACAGGAGTTTTTGTGTCATAAAGGATCAAATACATATTCATATTGGGGCAGCGGCTATTTCGATTACTTAAGCGGTACAAAAATTAAAGAAACTTATAATAAAAATGTTTTAATAGAATCGGATGAGAAAACCTCAAAAATGTTATTATCACCACATCGTAAAAAACCAATACTGAAAAATCGTCCATCTATTTGGAATGAAATGCAACAAACTGCAATAGCGTTATTAATACGTGAAGCTGGTGCATTACAAAGGGTTTTTGAACAAATTGCTTTCGCAATGGGACCTGGATTAAAATACAAACCAATTGAGAAAAAAAAATTTGATGTACCAGAATTTTTATCAGACAAATTAGAACCAGTATTGAATAGTTCACGCAAATTGATAGAAGAAAAGAAAGCATCAGTCAAAGATTTGGAAACACTAATACAAGTTGAAAATTGTTGAAAAGTTAAGAGAAATAATCACTTTTTTATTTTATGTTTGTATACAATTCTGAATTGGCCTCTAACTAAGTAATTGGAATAATGTAGTGATGTTAAACTTTAATTGTTGTGTTTCTTGAGAAGGAATCACTTGAGTTCATTGAGAAAAGAAGTCATTGTTATAAAGTTAAATTAAATAAATTAAAGCAAATTGATTTTACCACGCATTACTTCCCTTTTTAATTTAAAAATTTAATTTTAGTGTTTTAATTATTAAACGTTATAATTTATTCCTTATACTATGCATAGCTCAATTTTCTAAAAGTCTAAAAACTATTTAATTAATTAAATCTTACAAACAATATTGATTAAATTAAATTTAAAATAATTAACTTATTCTTAATTTAGCTCGAAAAATTTATGAAATATGAAAATAAAATTTATGATTGCTAATAACAAAATATTAAGCACTCTAATTTCGGAATAGTGACACGATATTTGTTCTTTTTTTCTTCATTCAAGGTTACAAAAAATTAGTTCTACTTTAACACCTATGAAACGCCACCAAGAAATTAATCAATTATTACAAGTTCGAAATTATTATTAAACTCTTCAGACTTAACTAAGGGAAAAATTAAGAAATGAAATACATATGTATGTGTACCTACATATGTACATATATATTGATTCCGAGATTGTATATTAATTTGGGAATTTAAAAATATTAATAAAATTAATCGATTTTGCGTACCAAAAATACACCATTTTTTCACTCTAGTTAACCTTAACATAAAAAAAACCATTCACGAAAAATATCAAAATAGTGAAAGTTTTCGTGCGAATGTAAATGCTAGAACGTATTTAACCACAATAAAACACAAGTAAAATTCGTTTGTATTGTATTTAAAATAAATAATTAATTAATTGTATTTATACAATTACAGATATACAAACAATATTTTAGGCAGGTAGGTGCTAGCATAAAAAATACATAAAGAAAAAATTTTAAAGATTTTTAATATTTGCCTAATAACAAAAAATTTTATTAGTAAAGTTGAGTCTATATTATTTCAATTATAACGAGAATGGCTATTTGACAATAGCGAGAAGGCCTTGTTTGACAATAGCTTAAATTTAAAGTAGTATTTATTTTTGGTTTAGATAAGTATTTTAGTAAAAATATAAGTATATTAAGAAAGCATAAACACTTTTATCTTTTATATAAAAGTAAGGATTGCCTTCCGTTTGAATAATCTAATAAATATTTACAATTCGATTGATCTTATAAAATTTCTTTATAAGTAGGTATTCTAGTTCTTCATCATCTTTTTTCTATCCATAATATAAGTATTAAAAATTATAAAATCTTAGTTTATCATGCAAGAAATTTTAAATTCTATTCTATTTTAAATATTACCAGAGACAATTGAAGCAAGCATATTTAAACTCTTATAAAGAATCTTTGATTTTCAATCTTCCATAATGTTAATATAATGAAAATGCCACATTAAGTGATTCGCCTTATTGTATGCAAAATATTATTCAATTTCGTATAAATAGATTAAATTTCTTATTTTTATTTAGAAATAAATAATTAGCTAATAAATTAAAAATTCAAATTTTTGGAAATTAATCAAATTTTAATAAAATACAAAACAAAAAAAAGAGTTCCACAGACGTACACATAAATACGACAAGCAATTAGAAATTTTTCAATTCGTAGACTCAATAATTTTAATATTTAACGTCGCTTCAACATCAAGCCCTCGAATTAACTTTAAAATGTACCACCATTACTAAAATAGAAATAATAAAATTACAATTTTATCGACATTTAAGTGATTTTCTGTTTAATTTTGTACAAATAATTTTCTGAATCAAATGCATATAACAATATTAAAACAAATAAAACTTTGCTATTTAATATAATTGCAATTTATTTTTAAAAATATATTGATTATTATAAACTTATTTATTTATTTAATCAAAAAAATAATATTTATCAAATCAATATAAGGTAAACAAAGATAAAAATTTTCTGATACCAATCCAATCGTACTATTTTATATATGCAAAAGTAAAGTGTACTGCAAAAGTACAACGAAATTGTTTCTTACTATTTATGACAAATTTTGCTATAAATATTTGTAATAGAAAGCTAAATTTTATTTTTAGTTTGCAATAAAAAAATATATATATGTATTTTTTTCGGTTTCAACCCTTTGATTAATATTTTGTTATTTATTTACACATTAAATTATTTTAATAGTTCGTGTGTAAATGCAAAAACCAACACAATATCATACGGCAGTAACTCTTTAGATTTATTAAATTTAGACATGATATCTATATGAGCCTTATATTTCTTAAAATACTAGCTAGATGGTGAAAATTTGGCAAGAATAACTTAATTGATTATAGTTATATCATAAATATAGTTAATAATTTAGGTATACAAGTACCAAAATATCCCCAATGTGTGTTTGCTAGATTCAAGAACTAAACATGTTCATATTTACTCAATTTCATTTTATATCTTTTGTTAAAATGAATTTTAGGCAGATGTCAGCCCAGCATTTACTAGTTTTTACGAAAACTAAATATATTTATTTACCCTCTGTGATCTGCTTATTCTACTGTATTGAATAGTAACAGAGTAAAAATAGCATCGTTGGTATAGCTTCTTTTTAAAACCAAAACATTGCAATTATTGTTAACTAAATTGTGAATTAGAAACTACATGTATAGGTACATATATGCATATATTAATCACAAGGCAATAAAATAAATAGATAAACTTCTTTATAAACTTACATTTATCGTTGTCATAAAGATTACAAACTTATTACAATATTATTGCATATAATCTGACTTAGATATAAATCGCGATTATTACAATCGTATATAAATAAAAATTTCGAAACTAATAAATTTAGTTCCACATATTTTTTTCAAAGTTGATCGCATAAAAGTAATAGAGTTTAAGATTTAAGAAATGAAATTTATCATAGCAAGTGTCTTACTTTCTTTAGTAATATTAGGTGGAAATACAAATGCACAAAGTACGTTTCAAAGATTTAAAAGTACTTAATTTATTTCGAATATAATGGATAACAATTTCGATTGCATGAAAATGATTTTTTCGAATGCCAATGAAAAAATTTTAGAGTTCATTTTTAATCAGCCTTGTTACAATTTTTGTCGTTACAGAAAATATATTGTGCTATGTAGGGACATGGGCTGTCTACCGTCATGGAAATGGAAATTTCGAAGTTGGACATATCGATCCACAAATTTGCACTCATTTAGTGTATACATTTTTTGGAATTGAAGAAACTGGTGCTTTCCGAGTTTTAGATCCTTATTTAGATTTGGAAGAAAACTACGGTCGAGGTAGGCACATACTTTTTTTAATAAAATCAAAACATTTTAAAACATTTGTTTCTATATTTAAAGGAAATATTAAAAAATTCAATGCCTTAAAACATTTGAATCCAAAACTTAAAACTTTAGCTGCTGTTGGAGGATGGAATGAAGGTTCTATTAAATATTCTAATGCTGCCAAAGATCCAGCAAAAAGAAGACGTTTTATTGAAACGGCAGTGGCTTTTATTTTAAAACATAATTTTGATGGGCTTGATTTTGATTGGGAATATCCTGGTCAAAGAGGGGGCGATTCGGCAGTTGATAAACAAAATTATGTTATTTGGTTGAAGGAACTTAAAGAAGAGTAAGAAAACTCTTAAAAGTCTTTTCGGGGGTACCTGCAGAATAAAAGACAATAAAAAAATTTTTTTTCAATTTCAGATTAAGTAAAAATGGTTTATTGTTAAGTGCAGCTGTAGCCTCAGCTGAATTTTCCGCAAGTCAGTCATACGATATTCCAAAAATATCCCAATACCTTGATCTCATAAATATCATGGTATATGATTTACATGGCCCATGGGATGAAAGTCTTGGTATTAATGCTCCACTGAATGCTGGTCCAGCTGATGTCACTGAAACAGAAAAACAATTAAATGTTCACAGTTCTATTCAATACTGGTTAAAACAAGGTTATTAATTATTAAGATAAAAGTAGTCCATTTAAGAAATATTAATTACATAATTTTCAATTCTTTAAATATGTAGGTGCTCCAGCGCATAAAATTAATTTAGGAATACCCTTATATGGGCACACATTTACTCTCTCCGACAAAACTCAAATTAAACCTGGATCAGCACATAGGGGTCCAGGTTCAGCAGGCAAATATACTCAACAACCTGGTTCATTAGGCTATAATGAATTTTGTGAAGATAATAAATCAGGATTATGGAAAATGGAATGGGAAGAAACACAACAGGTACCATATGCAATAAAAGCTGATCAATGGTTCGGTTATGATAATAAAAAGAGCGTTGAGTTAAAGGCACATTATGTTAATAAATACAATTTGGGTGGTGCTATGGTATGGTCCTTGGAAACAGATGATTTTAGAGGAATTTGTGAAGAAAAATATCCTCTAATGAACACAATTAAGAAAACTTTGGACAGTACAGCTTCACCTGATCCACCAACAACAGTACCTCCAAGTGTACCTACAACAACAGAAACAACAACAAGGAAAAGCAGTAGTACAACTACAACAAAAACTAGTAGTACAACTTCAAGGCCAACTACAACGACTGGCCCAGAATTTCAATGTAAACAAGACGGCACTTTTCGTGATCCATACGATTGTGCTGTATTTTATGTTTGCAGTCATGGAACAAAACATACTTTTAGATGTCCAAGCGATTTGTGGTTTGACACAATTGCGAGCGTTTGCAATTTTAAACACTTAGTAAACTGCTCACCGATTCCTTTACCACAAAATACGAAAATTTAAAAAAACGAAACATGAGCAAAATAAATATAGGTGAATCTATATTTGATTATGAAATTGTTTTTTATTTTTGGCATTAAAATCTTCAATATAAAAAACACATTTGGCAACCCAGCAATGAATATTTTAATCTAATCGCTTTTGTTCACGACGTAACATACTACCCTATTTTTCTCATTTCACTCGAATGAATAACATTAGTAAATAAACTTAAATCCATCATTTTTTATGTAAGTTTTCTTAAAAATTAAAAAATTAGTTATCTATACTTGAATGCATGATGAACACAATTATAATGAGAAATTTGTTATACAATTTGCAAATTAAGCTCCGTTATTATAATTTAAAACAAATAATTTTGTTTGAACAAAATAAATTTCACATTAACATTTGGGCATAATGTAAATAAACTGGGATCGAACCAATGATTTTAAAAAAAGCACATTTTCCTTAAACAATTTAAAATAATTTAGAACATTTATTAGGAAAAAAGAGCGAAGATGTTTCGTTTACATTTTATTCTCTTAATATAAAATCTTATATTGGATATACTTTCGGGAGACGAGCAAAAATTAAAGTTGCACATTAACTAACAGAATAACACAAAGGAACACCATAGTTGAGTTAGTTAAAATACATATGTTCATAACTGTACTTAATTCTTTGCTTTCGTAGCCATTTAATAAGAAATTGAGTTGCCGAAAATTAAAATTTTATTAATCGACAAACAATAACCCTGAAAGGGAAAAAACAAGTCAAGGACAAGTTGTAAACTTTTTATTTTAGTCCGGCGAAATTTAAAAAGAATTTGTTGTTTCGAAAAAGCAAGACAACTTCAGTTGGATATAACTTTTTGAAAATAGGTGGGAAAAGTACATTTTTGTTTTTAGAAAATGTGCTAAAAATTAGAATTTAGCAAACAATTTGTAAACCTACTTGATTGTGTCCTACTTGATCAGTTTGAACGGAATTTTTTTAAGTGCTTTCTATTTACACAAGCGAAATTCTTATGTAAATTCAAGTTCTAAAACAAATTTCCATTAGAAAATTTAATGTTTACTAAATCTGTTTCTTTTATTTCGAATCTTCCCATTTTGAAATAATATGTATGTATGTACGTGCTTTTGAAATATAATTTACTTATTAAACTTTGTTACATATTTTATCATAACAAACACTTTTATCAATTACAACACAAATAACTGCAAGTACTTAATGTAATATGTCACAATAATTGAGTATTCCAATAATTTACTTGCAAATCAATTGTAATCAAAGGTATAAAAGCGACGAGTCCAAATGCATTGAACTAGTACTCTATTTTTATTGGAAGTTATCTTGAACAAAATTTGGGATTTCATTTAAAAACTGAAACAAAAAATAAAATGAAGTTCATTTCTATAATATTAAATGTTTTGGTGACTTTAGTTGTGGTTTCAGCAATTGCTGCTGAAAAAAGTAGGTGTCATACAATAAGTGAAAAAAGTGTATACAAAGAATATTAAGGATTACTTTCAAACATAAGCATTTTATAAATTAAAGATAAATTTTTCAATGGCTTAGTGATTTTGCTTTTACTATAAAAATTATAATAGAAAATAAAAGCAATTGGCTGATTTTAAAGTGAAAATGTTATGTTTTCTAATTGGAAAATGTGCATTCCAATTTAGAAATAAAAATTAGTGTGATTTCAATAAAAAGGATGGGCTCACATTAATAAATCTAAAATATGTTTTAATGTCCCATTTGCTTTGTGTGCTTCTAAAATATTTTAAATTTTAATGAAATTTTGTAAACTTTACAGAAAAAATTGTATGTTATGTTGGAACGTGGGCTACTTATCGATGGGGAAATGGAAAATTCGATGTCGATAATATTTATCCACATCTTTGTACACATTTAGTTTATTCTTTCTTTGGAATTAACGAAAATGGTGATCTCCGAATTATCGATCCATATTTAGACCTAGAAGAAAACTGGGGCCGTGGTAACTATAAAACTCATTATAAATATAAACAATTTATCGATCAAAAAAGGCTATAATATTTAGAAAATAAATCATTTTGTAAACAGGAAATATCAAAAAATTCAACGCCCTCAAAGAAAAGAATCCAAATCTTAAAACAATAGCTGCAGTTGGCGGTTGGAACGAAGGTTCTGTTAAGTTTTCTGAAGTTGCAAAAGATCCAGTTAAGAGACGCCGTTTTATTGATACCGCAATTGAATTTGTTTTAAAATATAATTTTGATGGTATTGATATGGATTGGGAATATCCGGCTCAAAGAGGAGGTGATGTTGCAGTTGACAAAGCTAATTTTGTTAATTGGCTTAAGGAATTTAGAACAGAGTATATACACATACATCATACATATATAAAAATATGTTAAAAAAGTTCTTCTCTAATTTATCTCAAAAATTTTTAATATTTTCTTAAACATTTCAGAGTTGACAAACATGGTTTACTATTGACAGCGGCTGTAGCTTCAGCTGAATTTTCAGCTAGTCAATCTTATGACATTCCAAAGCTTTCCAAATATCTTGATTTCATTAACATTATGGCTTATGATTTACATGGTTCATGGGATGATATCACTGGAATCAATGCACCTCTATATTCTGGGGATAGTGACATTACAGCAAAGCAAAAACAACTAAATGTTCACAATTGTGTTCAATATTGGTTAAAACAAGGTCTCAAAGAATTTATTTAAATCGAAATTTTGAATTTATATTTATACCTCTACAATTGTTTTTAATTAAAGGGGCACCAGCAAATAAAATAATATTGGGAGTGCCACTGTACGGACGCACTTTTACTCTTGAGAACACTCATAAAACTGCACCAGGCTCACCTATTTCGGGTGGTGGAAACGCAGGACAATATACTGGGCAGGCTGGATTTTTAGGTTACAATGAAATTTGTGAAAAATTAGAAAAAGGTAATTGGAATCAAAAATGGGATGAAAAACAAAAAGTACCATATGCATTCAGTGGCAACCAATGGGTTGGTTATGACAATGAAAAAAGTCTTGCACTAAAAGCTCAATATGTTAATGAACATAATCTTGGAGGAATTATGGTTTGGTCATTAGAAACTGATGATTTTAATGGTGTATGCGGAAGTAAATATCCATTAATGAATGCAATCAATCAGGTACTATGGAATGGGGTTACAATTCCTCCAGAACAATCAACAACAACAACTGTAGCTCCTGCTACAACAAGTGCATCTTCAACAACACAAACAGCTCCAATTCCAACATCATCTCCTGAATCTATTAAATGTTCAGAGAATGGTTTGTTCCGTGACTTGAAGGATTGTTCTGTATTTCATATCTGTAGTAATGGAATATCACATTCCTTTAAATGTCCTGCAAATTTATGGTTCGATATTAATATTAAAACGTGTAATTTTAGACATTTAGTTGACTGTAAAATAACTAAATCTTAAAATTAGAAATAAATTTTGTTAATAACTGATTAATGTATTTAGTTCATCCGTATTACTGAATGTTTCCGTTCAATATTTTATTGTATTATTGTTCCGTATTTTTTACATATTTTTTTAACAGATCCAATTATCCGTCCTGAGTTATACTATACTTTGAAAATTAAAACCCTTAATTAGTCCGTGAACACTTGCGCGTGGACAAAGTCAAATTAATGCGCCTTGTGATTTTTTGAAAAAACTTATTTTTCTTAAACTTTAATTAATTAATTTTTTTAAATTTTCACCAATTCTTCGGATTGTAAGTTATGGGCCCTCTTTAGTTTTAAAACTGCTTGTGCTTTTGATAGTTTAATTATGATGCAACCATATAAGAAGTTTCCAAATCCCAAATTAACTTTGATAAACAACAGCTATACAGAACCAAAAAAAAATTCCAAATATTTCTATTTTTCCTCAAAGAATTGCGTATACATACATACATTGTATGAACATAATATTAATGTATGCTATAATGAGGATAATTTTGATCTTATTTTATTATAGATTGCTAGATTAAATTGCTGCTTAACTTTTGGGTTTTGGTTTAATCATTGAGTAACAAATTATTACTGTAAAATATTATTTTTTTTACCCTATGATTTAAAATATTTTATGGTATTAGCTTTTAAGACGTCAACAACGCCAATTAAACAGGATAAAGTTCATTATAAATCCAGATAAAGAGATTCCTTAATCCATCTTTTCGATTTTCTCCGATACTATTACGTACACACTTGAAATTAATATCAAATTATTTTGACTTCGAAATACTAACAAAATCAGAATGTTTATCTGGTGTACTTATTATTCAAGATAATAATTTTTTAAATACAATATATGTACATATGTATATAAAAGACAAAAACTATTCCGAGAAATTCAGTCTAAAACTTCATTTGAAGTGTCTATTACATTTGAACACAGTTGCGTCTAAATTGAAAATATGAAGGTATTCGTGTTGGGTATTATGACTGTTTTGGCAGTTGTTGCTGCAACATCAACTGAGAATCGTAAGTAATTTAAATCTATAGTCTTTAAATTTCTTCAAAAAAATTTAAAATAAATTAAAATAAGCAATTTGTTCATATTTTTTATTTTCATAGAAAATATTGTATGTTATGTTGGAACATGGGCCACTTATCGTACTGGAAATGGGAAATACGATGTTGATCATATAAATCCAAATTTATGTACACATTTAATGTATTCCTTCTTTGGAATAAATGACAAAGGTGAATTTAGAGTTATTGATGCATATTTGGATCTTGAAGAAAACTATGGCCGAGGTATGCTTAAATATAACCAAGTACAAAATTTAACTGCAAATCACATGTCAATAAAATAAAAAATTGTTAATTTTTTGTAGGAAATATAAAAAAATTTAATAATTTGAAGAAAATAAATCCGAATCTTAAAACTATAGCTGCCGTTGGTGGATGGAATGAAGGTTCAATTAAATTTTCAGAAGCCGCTAAAGATCCGGTTAAGAGACGCCGTTTTATTGATACCTCAATTGAATTTGTTTTAAAACATAATTTCGATGGTATTGATATGGATTGGGAATATCCAGCTCAAAGAGGTGGTGATGTTGCGGTAGATAAAGCTAATTTCGTTATTTGGATGAAAGAATTTAAAGAAGAGTAAGACTATTGTTAAAGAATTTATATTTTTGCAATTTTGAACAATTTATTTATTTAAAATTACAGATTGGAAAAACATGGTCTACTTTTAACAACAGCTGTAGCTGCCGCTGAATTCTCTGCTAGTCAATCTTATGATATCCCAAATATTTCCAAATATTTTGACTTAATTAATATTATGGCTTATGATTTACATGGCACATGGGATCAAACTACTGGTATTAACGCACCGCTATACGAAGGTCCAAATGATGTTACTGAAATTCAAAAACAATTAAATGTAGATAGCTGTGTTCAATATTGGTTAAAACAAGGTAAGCAAAAAAAATCGAAATATTTATATACGGTTTTTACAATAAATGAAAATTTAATCTTTGTATGTTTTTAATAGGAGCTCCTCCACATAAAATCGTATTGGGTGTTCCATTATATGGACGTACATTCACACTTTCAAATACAAATGAAAATAAACCAGGTGCTCCTTTTAATGGCCCAGGTTTAGCAGGTCCATACACTAAACAAGGAGGCTTCTTAGGCTACAACGAAATTTGCGAAAACTTCAAAGCAGAACAATGGACACAAGTATGGGAAACAGCACAACAAGTACCTTATGCATTTAACGGTAATCAATGGGTTGGCTATGATAATGTAGAAAGTATAGAATTGAAAGCTCAATACGCGAAGAAACATAACTTAGGAGGAGTAATGGTTTGGTCCCTAGAAACAGACGATTTTAATGGAATTTGTGGCGAAACTTATCCGCTTATGAAAGCTATTAATAAAGTGATAAGAGGAAGTATTCCTCCTGAACCATCAACCACAACATCCGGGCCAACTTCGCCACCTCTTCCTGAATTCAAATGTCCTGGAAGCGGTACTTTCCGCGACCCATATGATTGTGCTGCATTCTATATCTGTGAAAATAGCTCAAAGCATAGTTTTAGATGTCCTGATGAATTATGGTTCGATACAAAAACCAAAACTTGTAATTTTAAAAATTTAGTTGATTGTGAACCACTTCCACCGCCATATTAAATAAATAGTTATACAAAATACAAAAATTAAATTTGATTTTCTTTTATAGTACCCACTCTTGTCTTTCTACATGAGTGAAGAGTGGAAAATTCTTAAGTACCGCCAAAACACTTCTTTTCTCTTAGCTTTATGTTTTGTGTTAACCATGTCGTTTAGCCCAAAAATATCTCTGAGTGAGATATGGTTTTGATTTCAAGAAATAAAGATCATTGCTGATTAAGTTTTGAATTTTGAAATAACAATTCTTTTATTTTAAATGCATTTTATATCAGATCTTTTTAGCTACTCTTACTTACCAATAAAAAAAAATTTTTTAAATTTTCAGAATTTCAAACTTTCAAGTATAATTCTGAAAATAAATGTAAACAAACAATTGCGCATTGATATTGAAAATAATATTAGAGTTGCCTTTCTAACTGATAAGAATACTATCGAAAATATTAATCAGATTTGATAAAAACGATTAAAGGCTAACCGTACCAAAAGTGTTCTCCTATCAATTTTAATGACGTTTAAGTCTTACAAAGTTGAGTGTGGTATTCATAGTATGGAAATATTGTAAACATTGAGTCACATTTCAGCGCTGATTTTAATATGAAAATTCATTTCATGTCTAGGCGAATTAAAGACTAAATTCAAGATAACGATTAAACAGTCAAATTATTTTTGAAAGAGTTAAACACTGATAAAGCGAAATAGGATTTTTTTCAAATGCACAATTTACTACTACATAAGATTTAGACGGCAACAATAGTATATTTAAAGAAAGCAAAAATTGTTAGGCAATTCACAAACTTTAGCTTTAAGGATTCGAGCATGTGATGTTAATGTTTCAATACATGGCTGTTCTCAATAAATTTAATACGGAGTAGGTCGGAATCTCCAAAAAAGTTCTCCAAATGCCGCTAATAACTTTTTAATTGTGCGTATAACAATTATTGAAGTAGAATTCCTATATTATATCATCTTTTTACGAACTTGTTAATAGTGATTGAAATAATTGTCTATTACAGAAATGTTAAAAACTTAACGTTACTGGTAGAGTTAAAAACTTAACGACTGGTAGTTTTCTCGTAAAATACAATTTTTTATTCGCTTCCGACCTTCACAGTACAAAACACTAGAAAAGTTTAAAATTTCATAAAATATGAAAATTAAAATTCTAAAACAATAAAATTTTTATATTAAATTCCTAATTAGCACACAAGATGTCGTGTATGTATTTCACTAATTGACAAAGTACCAAAATGAGAAAGTATGTTTGTATTTTAAAAATTATTAACACATTTAAGTTAAATGATTAAACAATCAATAATAATTATTCCGAAAAAATGAAATTCAACAATACTTGGGATCTACTCAAAGATAAATCCGTAATAACAATAAAATTTTCATTTAAATCACTTGAAAATCCAGAAAGAGCTTTTAAAATCACGATTTTGCAAACCTTATTAATTGCAAAACAATAAAGTAAGATTAGGTGATTATAGAAAAACTGATAAATAACAAAAACATTTTGATTTCCATAATAATTTCAAAAAATCAAGGTATAAGACTAATTAGTGTAATTGTTTCTTTTATCTCGAGAATTATGCTTTTGTTTAACAATTTGACGTTTAAACAAATTAAGATTAAAAATTGAGTGCAGGTGGATATGTAATCGATTAAAATTTTAAACAATAAAAAAACCTAGCTCACTATAAGTAAGTGATTTTTCATAAACATTTTTAAAATTAATAATCAATTGTTCTCTTTTTACTTTTTTTAGATTTTAAATTTTGAGTATAAATATGATTACAGTATTAATGATTGTTTTGGATCACAATTAATTTTTATTCTGACTCTGGTTAAATATCATTGCAATTTATTCAGTTTTTCAAATAATTCAATACCTTCCTTAACCGGGGAAAATCGAATATCATTATCCCAATGATTTCGAATCACAAGTTGTTTTTTTTTTGAAAAAAAATTTCATATTTGTATTCAGAAAACAAAGGAGGCGTAATGAAGCAATGCACCCAGCACAAAAGTACTTTGAAGAAATTAACAGCAACAGTATCTAGAAGCAACAGTACACAGCCATCAACAGTATTCAGAGCAGCAGAATAGGCCTGAAACGCCAAACGAAAGAGATATAATAGAGGCTCAGAAACAACACAGCAGCAAGCTCCTATTGCATTCCGGTAGAGCTGCTAAAAATAAGCTTCAATAGAACTGCATATATAATGAACCCAATAAACTACTGAGTCTAGCAAACAGAGCAAATATGTTGCTGCTGGCATTACAATAAAGCTACCATCAAGAAGAATGGCATTGCAATAGAGCTACCACAAAAAAAGACTTAACGGAATGTAAGAATTGGCGGGATATAACAATACTGAATGCAGCTATAAAGATATTTGCGCTTATATTGCACTCCAGGACTAAGGCTAAAATAAAAGCAGACCTTAGAGAGGAACTGACGAGATTCAGAAGGGAACGCGGCTGCATCGATCAGTCTAACAAATTTCAAACAATCACAGAACAGACAGTCGAATGAAATTCTCCCCTGTATATTACTTTTGTGGTTTTCGAAATGTTCTTCGATACGATAAACCAAGAGGCAATATGGTATTCCTTAGCGAATAAAAGCTTTCCAAATAAAATAATAAACATAATAAAATAATTACATGAGGATGCAGAGCTAAGGGTTCTTCATTAAAGTAAATTGAGCAGCTCCATAAAATTGCACAAGCATAAAGATCTACTCCTATATAATGTGCTAGTGGACGACATCATAAGAAGAGAAACACTAGTGTCGGTAGTATCAACACCTTCACGAGTAGACCCAAAAGCCTGGAATATACAGACGATCAGGCGCTACTTGCACACACAAAAAGATATATGCAAGGCAAGCTAAACTATCTAGAGCAAAATGCCCTGAGAGATTAAGAGTCGTTCTTCGAGTAAAAATAAACAACACAGCAGTAGAAAATTTCACTGAATTCTGAAGGGCTGAATAAAACAAGAAAATCCGCACAAAACTCGACAGAATGGCGTTTGGAGACTCTCGCAAAGAAAAACTGAGCAAAAAAAACCCAAAAGTAAAATTTGCTAAGCCGAATTACCGTAAAATATAGATACGAGGTCACTATTTATATTTCGGGTCCTGGCAATACTAGTGCTGCCAGGTGCAATCGTTTTGTCATTCGAGCGCGAATTGTTTTGTTTACAGTGACTTGAAAAATTCATCTCGGTCAAAAAATGGAATTGTCCCGTGAAAATTTTCGTGCGATGATTTTTTACGATTTTCGGCGCGGATTATCGAGACAAGAGTGTCTCGATCAACTTGTTTCGACTTTTGGTGATGAAGCACCATCAAAAACCACTGTAAATCGCTGGTACCAAGAGTTTGGTTTCGGACGCCGTTCGCTCCAGGATGAATTTCGTGAAGGTCGGCAAATTTCGGTCGTTTTGCCGGAAACCATCGATGCTGTGCGCGAAATGATAATGATGGACCGGCATGTGACATACTGTGAGATTGAGGCATCCTTGGGCATTAGTTCCACCAGCGTACATAAGATATTGCATGAACATCTTGCCGTGAAAAAGGTGTGTTGTCGATGGATCCCAAAAAATTTGACGATTGCACAAAAGAAGGCTCGTGTCGATTGGAGCAAAGAAATGTTGAAAAAATTCAATCGCGGTGCGTCAAAAGACGTTTATAAGATAGTCACAGGTGATGAATCATGGATCTATGCATATGAGCCCGAAACGAAACAGCAATCGACCGTATGGGTGTTCCAAGACGAGCCAAATCCAACAAAAGTTGTTCGTGGAAGAAGCACATCGAAGCAAATGATCGCGTTTTTTTTTGGTATAACCGGTCATGTGGCCACAGTACCTTTAGTGGAACGTAGGACGGTCAATTCTGAATGGTACACCACCATCTGTTTGCCGAAAGTTTTCGAAGAAATAAGGAAAACAAACAAGCGCCGGCGAATCATTCTTCATCATGACAATGCAAGCTCTCACAAATCAGCTGAAACAATGGACTATTTCAGCACTCAAAATGTCGAATTGATGGGTCATCCGCCGTACAGTCCTGATTTAGCACCCAATGACTTCTTCTTATTCCCTCACATCAAAAAAAAAAATGCGTGGACAACGATTTTCAACACCTGAAGAAGCAGTCGATGCGTTCAAAAACCATGTTTTGGAGGTGTCTCAATCGGAGTGGAAAAAGTGCTACGAAAATTGGTTTCAGCGCATGCAAAAGTGTATTGATCTTCATGGGGAATATTTTGAAAAACAATAAAACCATTTCCAATGATAAATGTTTGTTTTTTGTTGCTAGACCCGAAATATAAATAGTTTCCCTTATGTTCATCTCATTGCGTGATCCGGAAAATATCTAAAAATCGTTCTTTGTTGAACTGTAGTACTCAAAAAGCGCAAGAAATTTTAAAATAGGTGTTAGTAATATAAACAAATTGCAAACTTATACTTACTTATGTTGTTTATTAAAATACGAAAGTATGTACGTATAATTTTTAAAATATACAATTCCTGTACCTTGTTCAGATAACTTTTTTATTTTTTGTTGTTCAATAAAAGATGCATAACCTTTTAAGACACTTTCATTGATATTGCGCGCAGTTAAATTTATTGAATTCTTAATTGGCTTGTATGAATTCATTAATATTGGTCTGTAAAAATTCATTAAATTAAATTGAATTAGGTGCATAACACAAAACACACCGTTTGTTTTTCTGCTTTAAGGAAAAAGTTAAGTGTCTGGATATGTATATTAGATAACAGTACGGAAGAGCATTCCTTAAAGATGAACGATTATTTTTAGTTTATTTCTGTAATTATGCAATTATGTATGTATTGGGTAGGTACATTTAAAATAGTTATTTTCTTTTTCTTGATTCGCTTAAGAATAATATACATTCACTTCAGTGTTAAGACTCCCCAATCCTAAAATCATTTCTAGATCTCATTTCTATTGTATGTAACATTTATATTATAAAAATAGTTGTAGAATATTTCTATTTGAGGTTTGTAAAACATTTTGATAAAAACTATCCAAGGATCGGTACCTTTTCATTGCCAGGCAGGAAGCTTAATTGCACATCTGGAGTAACGGTAATATATAAGTATATATTTATATGAATTAAAAACAAAGTTAATTAAAAACTCATTAAGATATTATTTTATAAAACTTTTATTTTAATGAATCGGACGTGGAAGTGGTGTACAATCAACTAAATCTTTGAAATTACATGTTTTAACAGTAATATCAAACCATAAATCATGTGGACATGAGAAAGTGTGTTTTCTATCTCCTTCACAAATATGGAATACAGAACAATCGAAAGGATCACGGAATGTACCGTCTTCATAACATACGAATTCAGGACCAGGTGGTGGAGTAGGTTTCGTTGGTTTTGATGGTGTTGTATTTGTTGTTGGTACGAAAGTTGTTGAAGGATCTGGAGGAGCACTACCTCTTATAATTCTATTAATTGCTTTCATTAAAGGATATTTTTCACCGCAAATTCCATTGAAATCGTCAGTTTCTAATGACCAAACCATGATACCACCTAATTTATGATCTTTTGCATATTGAGCTTTCAATTCAATACTTTTTACATCGTCATAACCAACCCATTGATTATCACGGAATGCGTATGGTACTTGTTGTGTTTCTTCCCAAACTTGAGTCCATTTTTCTGCTTTGAAATTTTCGCAAATTTCATTATATCCAATAAAGCCAGCTTGTCTTGTATATGGACCTGCTTGTCCTGGACCATTAAAACGTGAACCGGGTTTAGTTTCAGCCAAATTTGCAAGAGCGAAGTTACGTCCATATAATGGAACACCCAATACGATTTTATGTGGAGGGGCTCCTGTTTAAAAAATTAAAAATTTTTTTAAAACTGATATCAATAAATCTGCCATTATTTTACCTTGCTCTAACCAATATCGAACACAGCTATCTACATTCAATTGTTTTTGTGTTTCAGTAATGTCAGCTGGGCCAGCATATAGTGGTGCGTTAATGCCGATAGTTGTATCCCATGTACCATGTAAATCATAAGCCATAATATTAATTAAATCAAAATATTTAGACATGTTTGGAATATCGTATGATTGGCTTGCAGAGAATTTAGCGGCAGCGACAGCTGTTGTTAAAAGTAGACCATGTTTTTCCAATCTGTAATTTTAAATAAATAAATTGTTCAAAATTGCAAAAATATAAATTCTTTAACAATAGTCTTACTCTTCTTTAAATTCTTTCATCCAAATAACGAAATTAGCTTTATCTACTGCAACATCACCTCCTCTTTGAGCTGGATATTCCCAATCCATATCAATACCATCGAAATTATGTTTTAAAACAAATTCAATTGAGGTATCAATAAAACGGCGTCTCTTAACTGGATCTTTGGCAGCTTCTGAAAATTTAATTGAACCCTCGTTCCATCCACCGACAGCAGCTAAAGTTTTAAGTTTTGGATTTATTTCTTTGAGAGCGTTGAATTTTTTTATGTTTCCTATATAAAAAATATATTTTTAATTTATTAGTATATGCGTACACCTTATTCAATAAATTATACCGAATTAAACTTACCACGACCCCAGTTTTCTTCAAGATCTAAATATGCATCAATGACTCTGAATTCTCCATTTTCCGTAATTCCAAAGAATGAATACATTAAGTGTGTGCAGAGATGAGGATTAATATGTTCAACATCGTATTTACCATTTCCCCAACGATACGTTGCCCAGGTTCCAACATAGCATACAACATTTTCTGTACAACAACAATATAGTTTTATTGCCCAGTTTGTGAAATGGAAAATTTATTTTATATTAAAAACTTACGGTTCTGTGTTTCAGTTGCAGCTACTGCAGCCAAAACAACCAAAGCGCTTAGTACAATTAGTTTCATTGTGAAAAATAATTGAGCTGTGTTCAAATATATGAATTACTCCCACCGACAAATCGGACTGATTCAAAAATATTAAATTTCTCCTTTTATATACCGTTTTTCAAATCTAACTCAAGCTAAGACAAATCTTGATATTTTCAATAGCTCTTAATAATTTTGATAATGTTATCGGTGACAGTTTGCGGTGGTAATAATATTAGGCTAATCCCTTCAAGTATGTGATTGATACGAAAAAAAATACCGGCCCAATTGAAATTGGCAGTCAATAAGGAAAAATATTTAATATGAAAATGATAAAGTTGGAATACATTCGAACAAACCATTTATCTTCAGACTTTGCAAATTTTTAAAATTTGGAAAATTTCGTTTTTATTTTTGTTCATATACATATGTATGTACATAAGTATGTATTGACAATTAATAAATTAATGTTTTGATATCTTTTGCCACATATTTGCAAAATATTGCATAGAATTAGTTTTGAGACACAAATCAAAATAATAGGCAAAGTGTACCCCAAATAAAAACGAAAAACAAAATAAATAAAACCAATCTCACTACACAGAAGGTTTTTGAATAAGTCATTCCCGGTACCATAATTAATAAAAGTAAAGCGGCCGGAAACCCTATATGCTGAACAAATTTTTTAATTTTCAAAATGAAGTGGGAACATCTTCAGTCACAATTGAGATAAATTTTTTATTAAAATATGTATTTTGTTAATCCCAGCTAACCATCCAAAATTTTTGTTTTTTTTAATGTTAAAATTAATTTCCCTCATATTTTACATTTACTTTTTCTTACTCATACTAGGTGAATTTCTAGAAGAAAAAGCTTTTAGAAAATATTAGCTTTAAATACAAGGTAAAAGGTTCTTATTACATCCTCACTTTGCCTAATATATCTATAAATAATAATGTTTCAAACTGTCTACAGTCAAGGCAATAGTAATGGAGCAAGGCAAATTTATCCAGCAATTCGGACTTATAAGATGATTGTTCGTTCTTTTTTAGAAAAAATTTTTAAGAAAATTGAATTAAATCCACTAGGTAATTGGTCTTTTTTAAAATCAATTAAATATATCTGCAGTTTCCTGCCTATATTTTGTTAAGACATTTAAATGACAAAGAAAAATTTTGATGTTTCAAATACAATCTTGAGTACTAAATTTATTTGTAACAAATGCACACATATTTACATATGTAGTTCCTTACACAGAACAATTAACATAGTCATTGATATATTACAATTACAATAACTATTAAGTAATTAAATGAAATCATTTCTGAACATCTTCAATATTTAGGACATTTTTTATTATCGTTAATAAAAATAGATAGCCCAAAGTGCGTATACTCATACCAAAATGACTAATTTAAGTATATATTATTTATAAATTGGGTCCGGTGGAAATTAATTCTTATTAAAAATATAAAGGCTATAATTATTTTATTTGCAAAACTTATAAAAACTATAATACTGTTGATTTTTCTAATCTTTTGTTATGGTATAAAAGATTATTTTCGTTTAAATTTATACTCATAAAAACATAAGAAGCTTCAACTCAACATTATGAATATAATTTTCAAAATAACTTAATTCTATTATTAATCCCAACAATTGTTGTATTCATTTTGTTAAGTGCCTACATATATGTTATAAAAAACCAGCAGGGGTTTTTCAAACTTGAGTGCGTATTATTTAAATATTTGAGTGTTTTTAAAGTAACAAAATATTCAGAAATTTTATCAAAGCATTTAATAGTAAAACGATCACGTCAGAAATTTTGAGGGATTAATGAAAATTGATCTCAATTATATTGATCATTGAAATTTTGTAATGAAATTTGAACTATTGAAAAATTTGGAATTTCTCCACTTTAATATATTAATTGAAAATAAGTTAAATTAAATGTGGTCGCCGATAAGTTTTTTTTTATTACATATTATACATAAGCATATGTATGTATATGTTGTATATATTTATAAATTCAATTTATTTATATTTAAAACAATGAATTCAAGTCATTTAAGCTTTAGAATTTGGTTAAATAGATCATAATTTATTTAGACTTAGATTTAAATTATTAAGAGATCTATCCTTTTTTCGATCTTGCTTTTATTGCAACAACCTGCTTCTATAAGTGTTTGGAAATATGAAATTAATGGTTATATATATTAAATTTTTTCTAAACTCATTGCTCCCGTCTTTAAAACGCATGTCAATTTAAATAGTTGCTGAAAATAACACTTATTTAGTTAAAGTACTTTTTTTTTGTAGTTTGGGATTCCTCAAAGAAAGTTGAGGTTGAGTCAAAGAATTTTCTTTATGAAAGAACAACAACGGTACGAAATAAATGCAATGTGTTTTAAACTTCTTACCCCACACAATCTGTTTGAGATCGCCTTGAAATATTCGATGCTGCAGAAAAATGTTTTCCAAAGCTATGATTAACATAACGAAATTTAAATTTCTAAGGACTATTAAGTTAGTCTTCCTAAACATATTTTATTTATATACACATATATACGCACATATATGTATACATCTAAACACAAACATGTACAATGTAAGTGTCATTAACAAAGCATTCAAGTACTTTAATCTATTATGTAGGTACATATTTTTATATTATCAAAAAACTCAAAAAACTTTAATTGAATTTCTTTTCATTAAATAGATTAAATAGGAAAAATAATAAACTCAAGCAATATATAAAAGGTCTAATATAAGTTACGGTTTTCAGTTTTATTTTCAGAAGGATTGAGTATACTTTGTTACTTATTACTAAAAAAATGAAGCTGATATTAATTGCTTTAATTACTTTAGCTGCAGTTGCTGCAAGTGCAACTGAGAATAGTAAGTTTTGTCAGTGCTAGATTGTGTAAAAATTCGCATTTTAAATTAATTTCAATCAAACATCATGAAGTTTTTAATTTCTTTTGTACAAAATAGAAATGTTGTTGTAAATTATAAATTATAATTAGCAATTACTAATTAATTTATAACAATTTTTCTATTATTTTGGAATCGCGCCTTTAATTCTTTAAATCGCTATTTCTTTTTTACACCTTTTAGAAAATATTGTGTGCTATGTTGGAACATGGGCCACTTATAGAACAGGAAAGGGAAAATTTGACGTCGAACATATTGATCCAAATCTGTGCACGCATTTAATGTATTCTTTCTTTGGAATAAATGACAAAGGTGAATTTAGAGTTATTGATGCATATTTAGATCTTGAAGAGAACTGGGGAAAAGGTACATATGTTTAGATAATACAAAGCTGGAACTAGCAAATGAAATTAAGCAAATTCCTATCATAATTATAGGTAACATCAAAAAATTTAATGCTCTGAAACAAGTAAATCCAAAACTCAAAACATTGGCTGCTGTTGGTGGATGGAACGAAGGTTCAATTAAATTTTCTGAAGCTGCTAAAGATCCAATCAAAAGACGTACATTTATTGAAACTTCAATAGAATTTGCCTTAAAACACAACTTTGACGGCATAGATATGGACTGGGAGTATCCAGCACAAAGAGGAGGCGATGTTGAAGTAGACAAAGCTAATTTCGTTATTTGGATGAAGGAATTCAAGGAAGAGTAAGATTCTTTAAGATTTCATATAAGGCTGTTCACATATAACTTATCGTATTTTTCTTTTTTGAAATGCAATTCGTAATACATTTTTATAAATTTTACTATACTTAAAAAAAGAAATAATTGAAAAGGATTCCTCCTTTCTAATACGTTACGTAATATACAAACAGTCCTTTAACAAAGCAATTTTTAATCACGCACATTTGCACGTAATTTCAGATTAGAAAAACATGGTTTGATTTTAACAACAGCAGTTGCAGCTGCAGAATTTTCAGCTAGTCAATCTTATGACATTCCCAACATTTCAAAGTATTTTGATTTGATTAACATTATGGCTTACGATTTACATGGAACATGGGATGAAACTACTGGTATCAATGCACCTCTATATCCTGGTCCAAATGATGTTACCGTAACGCAACAACAACTTAATGTACACAGTTGCGTTCAGTATTGGTTAAAACAAGGTAAACATATCACAATCGTTACGTATTAATTAAAAAAAATTAATTACAAAATTATCACTACTTAAATATTTATAGGAGCTCCAGCTCATAAAATTGTGTTAGGTGTTCCATTGTATGGCCGAACATTTGCTTTGGCCAACGCTGCCGAAAATAAGCCTGGCTCACGTTTTTATGGTCCAGGACAGGCTGGTCCCTATACTAGACAAGCTGGATTTCTAGGATACAATGAAATTTGTGATAACTTCAAAACACAATCATGGACGCAAGTATGGGAATCCACGCAACAAGTACCATATGCTTTTAATGGCAACCAATGGGTTGGCTATGATGATGTGAAAAGCATTGAATTAAAAACGCGTTACGCTAATAAATATAAATTGGGAGGCATAATGGTTTGGTCATTAGAAACTGATGATTTCAATGGTGTTTGTGGTGAAAAATACCCATTAATGAAAGCAATCAACAGAGTTTTGGGAGATGGTAGTATTCCACCTAATCCGCCAACAACTCAAGCTCCGATTACAGACCCAACAACAGCTGCACCCAACCCGACACCACCGCCTGGACCTGAATTTAAATGTACTGAAAATGGAACTTTCCGCGATCCATACGATTGCGCCGTATTTTATATTTGTAATAACAATTTAAAGCACAGTTTTAGATGTGCTGATGATTTATGGTTTGATATTAAAACTTCAACATGCAATTTCAAGAACCTAGTTGATTGCAAACCGCTTCCCATTCCACCAAATTATTAAGATAATTCATAATAAGAAATAAATAAATTTAAGAGAGCATATGTACATACTAATCAATCTTTTTATTTTAACTAAATTGTAAATTTTTTGTTGATTTACATAGTAGACGTGGTTGGTCGTGGGCTTGTTGCCGTAAACCTAAGACTTAAAAAAATCTCAAAGAAAAAGTCCAACGGCGTTAAATCGCATGATCCGGGCGGCCAATTTTGATCATCAAAACGGGAAATTACACGACCGGGAAATGACTCATGCAGTAATTGAATCGTTGCTCGGGAACTTTTAATAACCCTGATTTTCCGGCTGTTGCGCTGTATTTTTTTTTTGGTTGGCAAATCTTGTGTGAATTTTGGGACACCTTTTACAAATTAAAATTTCTTAATTAATGTTACAGCCAAGAAAGTAATTATAATCTGGCAATCATTCTGGCTAAAAGTATATGTCTTGAGGGCATCATCTAGCAACCAAGATGAGTATCATACCATCAATTCTATATTTGCCTAGGCGGTGAATTCAAATGGTCCCACACTAAAACACCTTTGTGCTTGATTATAGTTGATCAATATTAAAAATATTGTAATTCTGAAGTAATTTTGATTGTGACAAATTTTTGTATTCGCTCCTTTGCTTTAGTTACATTTAAATTTCGATGCGGAGTGTCATTACTTTCTTCCCTTCGTATTGAGTAAATTAAGGCTTTTGTAATACTTAAGAACCCATTTATATAACAAAAGTTTATTGTGTGCACGAAAATTAGAATGTTTTATAAGAAGTAAACACATTCCTCTTACAATTTAATAACAATTAAAATTAAATTAAATATTTATTATAATACTTTGCCTTAACTTCCTAAATTTTTTTATATTGTTGATAAACCAACCTATGACAAAATAACGTACAAAAATCAAAATGTAAGTTGTATTCTAACATTATATTCGTTTATATTTGTGGCAGCGGCATGAATATTGATATATGTAGTAAAACTACAGGCTTTGATTTAATCTCAATTTGAATGGTAAAGTTTTTAAGTTATTTTAAAATTTCTTTAATCATCCTTTTCATTACCATATTCGCTCTGCTCGGAGATAAATTGTAGTAAGTGTTCTACCGTTAAATCTTTGTAATCTAGAGATTTTAATTTGGACATTGTATTAAAAATTTGTTCCTCAATGGTATTTTTGACTATAAATCTATGAATAGTAGTAGATTTTGTTTGCCCGATTCTGTGAACACGACTTATAGCTTGCAGTTCTTCGGCAACATTTAAGATGGGCTCCACTAAAAAAACGTGTGTTGCTTCAATCAAATTTAGCCCCTTAGATCCATGTGCTAACAACATAAGCATGCAATTTACATTTAAATTTTCGTTTTTGAATTCTTCGATCGATTTTGTTGATGACATTAACCTATGTTCAATAGAATTCTCCCGCAATGCTGTAGAAATTAATTTTAGTATGGAATGCCAATGAGAGAAAATTAAAATCTTAACTTTAGAGTCTTCTATTTTAAGTTTTATTATTACGGATAAAATTTCCTGTATTTTTGAAGAATATTCGCCTTTCACCGGAACATCATTTCTAGGTGGCTTACGAGTGACAAAATATACTTTATAAACCTTCGCACGGCAGACTGGACAGCTAAAAGAAGCTCCTATTTTATATCGCGTCATTTCATCGAGACATAAGACACACATTATGTGACCACAATCAAGAACACTGTATTTAGAACTAGGCCGGGATTTACATATAGGGCAATTATCTGGTTCGGAATTTTGCTCTAAATGCTGTATATATTTCAGTCGACCTAATTTTTTATAAAATTCTATTTTAGATTGGTTTAGTTCAACGAATAAATTTTCAAATGTGTCATTAACTTGGTACATTGGTATCTGATATATTACATTTTTTGACTTTTTGGCCTCAACATCGTCATCTATGACTTCTAATCTCATCTTACACATTTCCAATTCATCGTATGCTTTGGCTAAAATTAAAAATATTGATTATTTATTTTGATATTTTCTTTTTCGTAAAAATTGTTAACTTTTTTTTGAATAAAAATTAAATAATAAAGTGCACGTTTAAAATAATAGAATGTTTCCAAAAATATGGAACGACTAAATCAATGGAATGTATAAAATACTTAGCAGTCCATGCTTTATAAAAGCAACTACTTACCAACAAATTCTATTTCACTCCATAATTTCGAAAGATCTTTATATTCCTTTTTTAAATATTCAATAATTTCTAAGGATTTTTCATATCCTTCTAAATGACATGAAGCAATTTTGTGATTTTTAGCGAGAGACCACGCACATTTCAATATGTACTCCTGCACACAAGGATTCCACGTTCCTGCAGTTACTTCTGTATCTTTATTTAATTGTTTATCAAAAATTAAACATTCATATTCGTTTAAAGACATCTTTGATTTGCATAAATCGCAAATGTCGCTTTTATCTTCATTTTGCTTTCTTCCATCTTCACTATCATTATCTTCACCTCGAATATCTTTTAAGTGACATTCAAACACTGCTTTGACAAAATCAGAAACTTTTTTGTGCAAATTTTCCTTAGGTTTGATCAAAGCAATTATTTCTATAATTTTAGTGAATTCTTTTAATAATTCATTTCGTTTGACAGTTACATTTCGGAACCATGTAAATATATGAAATTCTATTGTTTTAATACTTCGGCTGTATTCACTAAATATACTGTTAGCAAAGCCGAAATTATCTTCCTGAATCTTTAGCAAAAGTGTCTCGGAAAGACTGTAACGGCCAAGCTCCTCAAAAATACCAATAAACGACTTTTCAACATTTTGAGTCCCGATTTCTTTAAACTTTTCATTTAAGATATTTTCTGTTTTCGTATAGCAATCCAAAGCCTCTAAGTATTTTTTTATATAAGTGTTGATATATTTCCACTCAAGTTCAAACTGTTGACTTATGTAGCTTTCAAAAACATGTGTTTCGGCCCGATTAGCAAATCCAGCAGCTATTCGAATATTGTGCAAAGCATGGATTTGTAACAAGCTATCAACACTAAGCGATCCTGAGAACTCTTTTGCCAAACCTATGACACTTTCATACATTTTTATCGCTTTTTCATACTCTTCTCGAATAATATGTATAGCAGCTAAACCATTGCAATTAGATGCCATAAGACGAATTTGATTTTTACATTCTAATTCATTACTCCCTTTTAAATGCTCCAAGAGCTCTTGAGGTTGCAATAGCTTCTTAACATGATTTTGATTGTTTTGAAATTTCAATAGCATTGGAACTGTACAATCTTGCCTAAGTTTTTTTAAAGGCTCCAAAATCTTTTTCAGTGTATAAGCATCAAACTGAGAAATAGTAAGTGAGTATGCTGATTCTGTTTTTAGTTTTGATATTTTTTCCTTAAAACTTTGTGAACAAATTTGGCGTTCATTACTATAAAACAATTTTTCACCATCATCAAATTTAATATAGTGAACCTTTTCTACTTGCTCTGGTATTTGTAATTCATTTACAACAGCTTTTTTGCATGTACGCCACATTACTTTTCCAAGAACGTCAATGAAAAACTCATAATTGCCTTCAAAAAATGTAGCAGTCAACCTTCTCCAATAAACTTTTTCAAAAACTGGATTAACATCCAAAAATTCAAATAAACCGCGGATATCTTCTAAAGATTTTTGAATAGGCGTTCCTGTAATTGCCCATCGATGCACAGCTGGAAGAAGTTTTACCTATAAGAAAATGATTTTATATAAAATTAAGATGTTTCTAAAATCTAATACCATTTGGGAAGCTTTCGTGTTTGACGACTCAACCATTTGTGCTTCATCCAAACAAACCCTATACCATATTACTTTTAAAAGAGGAGACTCCATTCTCATATACTTTTTAGAATTTCTAAAATTACATGGAGATTTGTTGTCAGCGGAAAAATAAATTTCTCTCTTTAATATATTGTAGTCTGTTAAAATTATATCATATTTGGATATTTCATTTGGACTTATCCAGGTATTACTGACTCCGGTATAAAGTAGCACTTTCAATGGTGTTAACACATGTTTCATTATTTCAGTATACCATTGTTTCTTTATAGTAGCTGGGGTAACTATAACTGTTGCCTGGCTCTTTATTAATTCCTTTTTGTTAGCCCAACAACTTGGACAAATATGTGGATTATCTGGTTCGGAATATAACCGTACACATTTTACGTGTTGTAAAACTTCACATTCAATACATTTAACAGTTTTTTTCTTTCTTACAGAATTATTAAAACAAATACAAAGTACTTTATCCTGCATTTTTTTAATTTTAGCTAAAGATGGTCCATTATCAGAACTATCAAACAATATATCATTTTCGGGCATAAATAATACATTCTGCTTGAGTAAAATCAAAGACAACATTTCTATAGTTTTACCTAATCCCATTTCGTCTGCCAAAATACCGCCACTTGGCAATATCCTTTTAGGAATAAATTCGGTTATATCTAAATTGTATTGATTAATATAAAATGTATAACTAGCACAATCAACAAACTTGATCTTCTTATAGTCTACAATTTCTTGCCTCACGCTCTCAACGTACAACATCCACTTGACAGCCTCTTCTTGGTATGGTCTAAGAGAAGGGCGTAAATGTTGTTTAAGCTTTTTACCATCAAAATTTTCCAAATTATCATTTTCATGTTTTTGTTTCAATAAATTATATACACGATCACACAAAGTATCTTTGTTATATTCAAAACATTGTTCGCTCCTAGTTATAGATCCAGTTATGAAAGATAAATCATCCAAACAGACTAGTTGTAATAATCGAATTCTGCTTTCGATATTCCTTCTGCATACTCCTTTACTAGAAATATCTAAGACTATGCAAAGATATTTATTACTGCAATCTTCCACACATTCAATTTTCATGTCACTATTTAATGATACATCATAAATTAAAGTTTCCAAAGAAAAATCACACAATTTTTCATAATAATCATTTTTATATTTAAAACGTCTATTTTCATCAGACACCGAGTGTCCATTATCTGCTTCTTGAAAGCTAATAGCTATGCGCCTTATGTTAAATTTGGAATTTATTTCTTCATTCACTTCATTCTTCATCATTAACACTCTACTTTTCCTATTTTTATTTTACTTTTTTTTATGGAAATAAATAAAATGTTTGTTAGAATATTTATATTTCCTTAATTCTCATCCTTTGAAAACTATATATAAAATATACATATGTATATGTACAATGTGCAATGTACATCCATATGCATATATGTTTTTATTTACCGACTTTGTTTTGATTTTGCGTAATTTGACAGTAGAAATGTCACACCTGAAAAATACACCTATACCACAGCAAACAACCAGAAGTCTTTCTCAAACTTTCCTAGAAAGGAAATGCTGAGAATCTGTGGAACCAATTAAGGAATCAATTATATAAGTGTGTATGTACTTACACAGCCCCCGATCCACATCTGAAAGAAATATTTTTATGCCAAGTCTACATTCACTTCAAGACAATTTTAGCACTCGAATTAAAAGTCAAATTTAATTCCGTTAATTTCGAAAGCTAGTTTATGTATATTACATTATACATTTTAATAATGTGTAACAATTAATGAGTTATGTTAAGAAAGAGCTTAAACCTACTTAAACAACTTTACTATAATTAAGATGAAATTTTCGGTATAAAAATTTAATATTATTTTAACAAGTCTAAATGACAATTACTTAAATTGATATAGTACTACTAAATAAAAAAAATCATATACATATACAGAAGGTACTTAATAGTTAACAGGTAATCAGAGTTTTAAATATTTTAAAATTTTGTTGTTGAAATTTTTTATGTCACTTTGGTCAGGCTCATAGTATAGTTTTCTTTTTTTTGCATCTGATATAAGCGATTTCCACACATTTATGTCACTTAAATGTTGAAAGTTACCGCATAATATGAGACACTTTTTCGCTCTTGTTAATGCAACATTCAAACGGCAAATTTCATTTAAAAACCCAATTCCCTGCGTTCTAGCATTCGAAATAATAATAACATCTTTTTCTTTTCCTTGATATGAATCTATTGTATTAACCTCAATGTCAAGTTTTTCTTTTCTGTAAAAAAAAAAATTACAACATAAAATATACATAATTATTTTCTTTTATACTGTACCTTATTTTTTCGCGCAAATTATGGCAATGTAAATTATAAGGAGTAATTATACCGTAGGAGAATTTCTGTACTGGCATAAGCTCAACCAATCCCTGAACTAATTTAACAATAAAATCTGCTTCTGAACAATTTTCTATTCCATTTGTTGAACTCTTGTTTTGATTAAAATTTAATTCAATTATTGTATATGGCTTAAGTATTGGTGTAAAACTTGTAGTAATATCATCGTTCATTAAACGATTTCTATAAAAATATGAATTAGGCCATTTGCAAATTTCGGGATGCATGCGATACTGAATCTTTAAACTCATTATAAAGCGATTTTCCATTCCTATCACTTCTTTAGCACGGGTAAAATAAGATTTTCCGAAGTTGTATGCTTTACTTAGCTTTTATGATAAAATTACAGAAATAATTAGTATTAGCTTTAGATATATATTTATTTCAATACATACATAAGATAATGTTGTGGCAGGCAATTGCTGAGTGTCACCTATTAAAATCAATGAATTAATACCGAATTGTAAGGGAACCAAGGTCCAAGGCTCATTGCACTGTGTAGCTTCATCTATAATACATACGTCGAAATAGTTGCAATACCTTAATTATAAATAAAAATATTTTAAAAATTAATTAAATTAAAACATAAAAATATTTTCTTACTTATTTTAAAATGAAAGAATAAAATGTTTTAAATACCTCAAAAGTCTGACACAGCTTGAAAGAGTTGTGCAAACTATATTTGCGTTAGCTAAGAACTTATATTCTAAATTTCTATCAATTTCATTATAACTTTCACTTAACAAATTGTTTATTTGACTCAAATCTTTTTTGGCCTTTTCTAAATCATTATCATCTCGGCTGTTAGACCTTCTTCTATTCTCCAACCTTTTAACTTTTTCTTCTAATAATTGTTTCTAAAACGTTTTATAATGAACGACCATATCATGCCTAACATTATTTGAAAATTTACCTCATCCATCAACGCAGTCATTTTTGGAGTTTGTTTTATGGATCTTCTTTGCAATTTTATGAGCTCTGTTAGAGAATATGGTCTTACTTCCATATGCATTTTATCTAAAACGCCATATCTCACTAAACGGAACTTTTTGCTGTCCATTTTTTTTCGAATCCTTATTAATTTTTGCGTTATAACATCTACAGCGACATTGCTTTGTGCGCAAACTAATATTTTTCGATCCAGATGACGTAACTCAAGTCCATATTGTAGCTGCAAAATCAAATTTGTAATTAATCTTGATTTTCCAGTTCCAGGAGGCCCTTCAATAAGTGTTACAGTGTCTCTCGAGGGGTCAATTGTACGTAAGTAGGTCTCCATTAAAATATTTTTTTGGCTGTCGTTTAACTGGTCATAACCATTATATTTATACAGTTTTAATTCACTTTGTGTATGAATATCGGTGTTCTGCATTAAAGTTTGAGGACTTAAAATTTTCTGCAGTAAAGGAGAGTAAGCCAAATTTTTTACGGCTTCAAATGCACCAAGTTCTGTTGCAATCACTGACAATTTTTGTACTTTTATCACTTTAGCGTTTCTTATTTCAGTTAAAAAATTTGAATTGTAATTGCTCTCAATTTTCACACCGTATGTCTTTAGGACTGTAGTTGAATTTGGATCTAAAATGCAAGAAATATATTTAATAAATGGATAACAAATGCTAAAAATTTATTATTTGTACTTAAAACACGATTTGTTATTACATGACCAAAAATATTTTCCTTGTTTAATACTTCAACAAAAACTAATTCGTTTGAATAAAATAAAGGTTTGTTAAAAGGTAATGCACTGGTGTCTGAAAAAATGCGCAAATTCAGTTTTTTACAGTATTATAAAAGTTAATATGTTTACATTCGCAGTGACAAATAATTCTTTTTACTGAAGTTTGTTCTATAATCTCAAATTTTACTAAATTCAATTGTATAGTTTTAGTTTCATGAGATTTCCTGTCTTTTAATAATCTCTCCCATAACTCTAATTTCATCAAGGGGAAAACTATTCTAAAATATCATAAAGAAACATTAATTTATTTAGTTTAATATTTTAACTGCGCTTTACTTTTGGTAATCTTCTAATGTTTTAAAAGAGTGAATCATAGGGCATAAGAGAGATGTGCCATTGACATTCGCTTTTTCTCTGACATCAAACCATTCAGGTTTCCATGAAAGGATTTCAGACAAAATATGATCCGTATTAGATACTGCAGATCTTGGATATTTTAGTTGCCACATGCGTTTTCTGTTTTCAAAGTGTGACAAATCTAACATTCTTTTATTAGTTTCTTTAACAGATATTTGATCAACATTTTCTTCAGTTGTTGTGTCAACATAAAATGTGTATACGGTAGGCTCAAGATTAAATTTTACTTTTCTATTGGGGCTGTTTTTCAAATGTTTCTTATCATTCGATTTTATGCATGACTTCAGATTTTTTTTTAGCTGTACATTTGATTTGTGATTATTTTCTAACCTAGCACTATGGTGAGTATTAGGAGCGGTATTAATACGGTTCATGCTTCTTGTTTTTTTATTTCGATTTTGATTATTTATATCAACTGATTTCCTTAGGTTTCTATCGGCAGAAGAAAGAACATTAGAGAAAAGAGTTTCCTTACTGGTAGAAGGTTCACTACTTTTCCTTCTGTTGAGTATTTTTGACGTGGAAGTACTTGCCAAATCGGTTAAAAATGATCCTCGATTTTTATCTGTTACTTTCACCTTTGCTTTTTTAACAACTTTTTCCTTTTCTTCATCATCGAGGTTATCAATGGAAATAGAGTGCTTGCGTTTTTCCCTAGGTTTTTCTAAGTTATCTTCTGATTTCTTTTTCTCCGCTAATTCTTTAAGTTTCTCCTTTCGCTTATCCCTTATCTGAATTTTTTTATTCTTTTCTCTTATAGCATTTGGTTTTTCGAGCCATTTTTTCTGTAATTTTAAACTTTGATTGTCTGTTCGAGAATAGTGAGTTCGTAGACTCTTCTTAGGAGACTCTTTATTTAATGGAGATGTAATAATATGTACTGCTTTTTTTGTGGTTGTTAACGAAATTAAATCTGCTGATACACCTCTGTTTTTGCCTCTTTTTAAAGGAAGTGACGGAGCATCTATAATAGGGACATTGTTTTTCTTTTTATTTATCTCTGCTGGGCCGACATCAACTTTCACGAAATTTGAATCGTCATTTTTTTCTATCCTATTGGTTTCCATGGAAGTTCTGTTCTGATTTTTGTCATTTTGCATTGAAAATCCTTCCGAAGTTTGATTTATCATCGTTTCTCCGTTGGAAATAATTTCGTCTTCATCTGAAGCAATTTTTAAAAGAGTTGAATTCGATTTCTTTTCATAAGTTTCGTCAAAGTTTTGAGACAGTTTCATGAACCATTTTCGTGTTGTGGGGTCTAATTCTTCATCCATTTCATTTTTTAAAGCATCGTCATCTAACGTGAGGTCCAAAACGTCCTTTGTATAAAAATTATTGTCAATATTTTGTAAGTTTTCATTGCCCTCTATTTCTGTTATATCTAACTCAGCTATTTCTTGTTTAATTTCATCCCACACTGCTTGCGAAAGTTCATCGGATTGAAACTCAAGAAAATTGCAATCTGCTTCTTTTCCTTCATCACTCGTTTGTTTATCTGATATGAGTCCTCCACTTTGTAATTCATTTGGTTTTTCTACTATCTCCATTTTTTCAACGACTTTTCTGCTGACTCCGTTGTGTGTTGTTTTACCAGAGAAACAGCAAATATTATTACTTAATGTTTTAGATACTTCTCTGCTATTATCAATTTTTCGATTCTGGTTTAGCCTCGCAGTAGAAACTATTTTATCATTTTCCGAGTTTTTGTTACTGACAATGTCTATCTGGTTAATATATGCTTGCTTGCTCGAATTACTTGGTTCTTCTATGTTCTTGATAGATATTTTTTTTGGTTTAACAAAAACTATATTACTTTGTCCTTCACCTATAAAAGAAATGGTCAATTTTCTTTATTAAATCCATCTTTACCTTTAAATCTGCTATACTATTTTTTTCTACAGATGTATTTTTTTTATCTTCTATTGTATCTGGTTCAATCGATTCATCCTCAGAGATTACAACTACTGAATCATCATCATCTTTTTCTGCAACATCTTCAACAGCAAATGTTTCCATTCTTATTTTCTTCAATCTATATACATGATATATACAATCTTGTAAGAATTCGTCTATACTATGAACTCCAATACCAATTTTATCATTTTCTCTTATGACGGTTGACGAACCTTTATATTCAATTTCATTCACAAAAGTTCCGTTTGAAGACTAAAATTTGGCTTTTAAAAGACATTCTAATCCACTTATTTAAAATACATACGAAATCTTCTAAACGAATATTTTCGCCATCTACCATAACACTACAATGATTTCTCGATCCAAATGGTCCAGATATTTTAACAGTTGCATTTGGAACTCTACCTACAATATTAACTCCTTCATTCAATCGCACAGAATACCTGTGGGCATTTAAAACATACTTATATTTACACTTGATATAAAAACATTCACGAAACCATACCTAATTCCTAATCTTTCCAAATAAAAATTAGACTTCATCCTTTTAAACTAACAAAATATTTCAAAATATATTTTGAAATAAGAGATTCCCGCTAATGTCACAACACAATTACACACCCATACAATTTTTGACACTACAAGTTTGTTTTTGATTTTATGTTACTTCAATTTTCAACACCATATTATCGCACTCGCACATATACCCTCATCGATTAAGGATCTATAGATTGACGCTTGAACTCGGTTGACAGCAACACAGAGGAGGACCTTTGGCCCTGAATTTTAAGAAAGAGTGACAGTTCAAAAGTACAAATTTATTAGTGATGGGAACTATCGAATATCTACTGTTACTAATTACATTAATTATATTACATTTAGTACATTAATTATATTACGTTTAATTATGGATACCACGAACTGCTCCCAATTTTTTTTTTGAACTAAAATTTTATACAAATGGTACTTTTGTTTTGCCATAAAAGAGAATGAGTTTATTACGTGCAATTATGCTATATTGATATTATTTATTAAAAAATGTCTTTTAATTTCATTTAGCTTACAATAGATAAAAGTTACAAATTATTTTGCTACAAAGATTTTACCTCTTTTTTAATAATGGCCTCCAATAAACTTTAAAATAATATAAACTATCAACTCAAAATAACAACAGAGTTTTAAAAATTACTTCTATTCACACAGTTTCTATTCGTATAGTTTTGTATAGATAGTCTCTCGAAATAATTTTGAAGAACCATAATATCTTTTAGGGCTTAAGCGAATTCGATAATTATCAATAATTATCGAATGAAATGAGTAGATCTTTTCTTGTATTCTTTTTTGTTACGTCAATTTGAGAATGCATATGGTATAAAAAATAATGGTATAATTAACTAATACGCCTACCTATTGTAGTCGTATATGTGGTCATTTCAAATGTCATTTTAAAGTGTATAAAGAAAAAGTTAATTGCAACTGTTGTAATTTTACTAAGTATAAACAAAAATAATTTCCTTATTTTTGTTGGATCTGCAGAACACTATTGAAAAGTATTGAGAGCCTTAAGATTTTGTAGTCAAATTCTGTTGTTGAAAATGTTGACGTAGCATCGCTAGGTATGTAATCCTTATAAGCTTTAATAGAAATATTTAATAACATGCAGGCTTCCGCTGTAAACTTTTACACAGATACGAGTATATACAACATTTTTTAACTTTTCTTTGTTAAAATAAAACTTTAAAATTATCACATAGTAAGTTAATGAGGATTTCAGTTAATAATTACAAAAAAATGAGCATAAATTATAATGATATCCCAGTAGGGATTTTGGCTATACAGAAATTTTCTGGTGTTTGTTGCTCTAGAATAAGATTTAGGAGAGAATTATTGTAAGTACTTAATACTTCATATATAGACATCTTTTATTCTTAAATTTTCATAATAAAATTGAAATGTTTATTTTTCAGATTTAAATCATCTGTGTTATTTTTGACATATTTATCTTATACTTGCTATCATATGACTAGGAAACCTATTTCTGTTGTAAAAACTGTTCTTCAAGGAAATTGTTCTAATATAACACCCTCAACAATAAATGTAACGTGTGATGGGTATCCACCCTTCGGTAAGATTCGAATTAAAAAATAAAGTAGGCAGAAGTTTCATTTACTTTTGTAAATTTTTTTTTAATTACTGAAAATTAAATTCATTGAGTATTATCATACATAGTTACAAAATTTTTAAAAAATACACATAATATACATATACATATGTAATATGAATCCAGTAGGTTCATGAATATAATATGAATCATGAATATGACCTACAAAAAATTAATTTCCATTTTACTTTTAGATGACTTAAATGCTGCTAGTTTGTTTGGTTACCTTGATTCAGCATTCCTATTTAGTTATGCTGCTGCAATGTTTGCTTCAGGATTTCTTGCGGAAAGATGTTCCTTACGTTATTTCTTATCTTCAGGAATGATATTAACTGCGATTTTTACATACTTGTTTGGTATTGCAAAAACGCTTAATATACACGATATTTGGTATTTTATTTTTGTACAAGTTGCGGCTGGAATTTTTCAAACCACTGGATGGCCAGGGGTTGTTACCGTGGTCGGTCGCTGGTTTGGAAAATCTAAAAGAGGATTGATATTTGGTATTTGGAACAGTCACACATCAATTGGAAACATTTTAGGGACATTTATAGCTGCCAAATATGTTACTAAAGACTGGTCTCTGTCATTCATTGTTCCTGGACTTATAATGGGAATTGTCGGTTTTATATTGTTTTTGTTTTTAGTAGACTCTCCTGAATTAGTTTCTTGTAACACGCAAGATGTAAGAACTGGACGGCGATTATCCACAGATTCCGATGTGGATGTAGAAAATGGAGATTCTTCGGTGATCCCCCAACCGGTAATAAATGCAATTTTTGTAAATTTATTTTTATCCCATATAGATATAGTATAATAATTACACATATACGAGAAAATTTTGTAGCAATGTAATTTTTGTATTTGCAATACTTTATAATGCTTGTATATTGTTGCATCGCTACTTATGTATTTAGAAATCAATAATATGAATAACTGCGAAAAAATGCACATTGTATTCTTGGGCTCAAAAATATGTGAGCTGAAATAAATTATTTGATAATTAACATTTATATTACAGGAAATAACATACCGCCCCACGGAAAGAACACATTTACTTCGCCGACAATCTAGTACAAATTCTGTGAATCATTCTAATAATGCTGTACCCATTGATGTATTATCGGCTCTGAAAATTCCTGGCGTTATAGAGTTTTCTTTATGTTTGTTTTTTTCAAAATTAGTAAGCTACACATTTTTGTACTGGTTACCGTTGTATATTCAATCATCAAGTAAGGTTAAATAAATATAAGTTTAAAAATAATATTAACTTTTTAAATTTCAGCAACTCTACCAGCAGAAGAAAGCGCTCACATATCTACAGTTTTTGATATTGGAGGTATTGTTGGGGCAATTGCTGCTGGAATGATAGCCGATGCAACATCGATGCCGGCTATCACATGTGCCGGAATGTTTTTTTTGGCTGTACCAATAGTAACGATTAAATGCATTTGTTTTTACTGCGTACTAATTATTTTAACTTTTATAGTTAGCGCTTTATCATTCCTTTGGAGCAGAATCGTTGTCTTTTGCAATACTCCTGCTATTTTTAGCTGGAATTTTAGTTAATGGACCTTATTCTCTTATTACTACTTCAGTAAGCGCTGAATTAGGTATGTTACATGTACCTAACATGTATACTTTTTATTCTTGTAAATGTGGATGCATTTAATAAAAAATTATAAGTGTAATTTAAAATCAAGTGTCGTAGTTAATAACTCAATATTTTATTTCAGGTCAACATAGTTCTCTTGAAGGAAATGCAAAAGCTATCGCAACTGTCACCGCAATTATAGATGGAACTGGATCAATCGGTTTGTAAAATTGTTATTTAATATTCGCATTTATAATAAGTATTATACAATCTTCGTGTATACGTATTCAAATTTATAATTAATTTTATAGGGGCTGCGATTGGTCCTCTACTCACAGGAGTTATTTCAGGATTTGGTTGGCAAAATGTTTTTCATATGCTTATTGCATCGGACATACTTGCAATGATTTTTTTGAACCGACTTGTTTACAAAGAATTTGTTACGCATCGCTTACCTGCGAGAATAGAATAATATTTAATTTCTGTAGATGAAAAAATTAATTTTTCTAAAGAAAATTAATTTTTTAACATAATTCGCTCAAATATTTCAAATTAGATTTTTTTTTTAATTATTTGAATAAAAGAAATAAAATCTCTCTTTTGCTTTAGAATTTAAAGAAAAGGAAGCTGATATTTGAGCTATAAAAGCAATGTTAATTCAAAACTATTTAATTTTATGTTTAAATAATTAAATATCCAAGTTTTAAGCTAACTATTTTTATACTGTGTTTCCAATAACTTAAACTGCATATGTATAAATATGCTACGATATTTTATCTAGAAAATTTACCTAAAACACTGAATTTCTACAACCCGAATATCAGTCTAATACAAAATTTTATGTACGTATATGTTTTAAAATGTTTTAACTTATTAAGAACTTTTTGTATTGAACCAAAAAAAGGATACATATTATTTTTATTAAGTTTTTAAATGCTATACTTATGCCTTTTTGAAATTGATGGTGAAATATTGGCTTTATTTGAAATATTCCTAGAAATGCGGTTTTAAATTTGTAATTATTTCAAATTTTTTGGACGCATGTAAAAATTAAAATAATACAAATTTATTTTGGCTTTTGATTGCCAAGCAATTATATTCATAATAGTTCATTTTATATTCCAATAGCATAATTAAATGTACATATATACATATAAGCTCTATTAAAGATATATTATAGTAATTAATAAAGTATGTATACATTTTTTAAAATGAAAATGGCCTTTATTTTGTGTTTTAAATTTATCTTGAAAAGGAAAATAAACATATGTAAAAAAGTTTTGTATTCATAAATTATGAAAATTGCTTTACCCACACTGTAAGTATTGATATATTATGTATTTTTTAATTGCAATTTTTGGGAAAAAAAGGTTTTCTTAAAAGAACTAAATGGGTATTTTAGAAGTTATTTAAAAATTTTAAACTGACATAATGTAACATAATGAATTTTAAACTGAAGACTTAACTAATATAAAAACTACATATGTAATATATTAGTAAAACTTTATAGCCATAGTAGTAATTTTAGTATTTACATACATATTATGTATTTATAGATGTATGTATGGAACAAAGGTGAAGTGTTTTTCTTCTATGCTGTCTTTAGCTACATTATAAGAATTTAGTAGTTAAAATGGGGTTAAAATACATATTATGTACATATTTTAGTTAAAAAGAATTTATAGATTTTGAGTTTAAAATTTAAAATTAAAATTTTTATTTATAATTGAATACATTTTTTTTATTTTTATAATTTTTATTAATCACAGCAGTCTTCTTTTTAAAATGAGTTGTAATTCAAGTTACAATATATAATAAATTGGTTTTTTCTCTTTAAATTTATATAATACATATTATATAGGAAATTTTGTATCGTAATTTTTATCATTTTATTTCTCATAAGAACCTTAAAATCGATTTATCGCTTATAATAACACAGAAAAATGTTTTAACAGAATAACAAGTAAAAATGAAAGATAACAAAAAAAATTACAATATTTAAGTTTGTTTTTATATCGTATTTAAGTATATGTATGTACATACATATATAGTATTTAAAAATTTGGAAATAAAAAATAATTGTTTGTTATTATTAAGATCATCTCCTCAAAGCAAATATGTATGCATGTAAGGATTTACAAAACAGTATTGTGTTTTCCAAAAAAATCTTAAAAAAATTTAATATTAAGTATTAAAAATAAATAATTTAAATGTATTATAGCATTCGAATATTTGTAAAACCGAATTTCTTAAACGTGCAAAATTACCTTTAAACATTTGTCCTAGAACATTTTTCAGTCCTCGAACATTTTTTTAATTAAACATATAGAAAAATATTTGATATTTGAGATAAATTTTGTTTTTATAGCATTATTGAAAGCTAATTGAAACCTAATAGTCTTTAGATTCAAGTTATTTTAAGAACTATGAATGAATATTAAGTTTTAAAAATGTTTTCTGCGTTACTTTTTATTTTGTTTATAAAAAAAATATTTTAAAAACTAATTTTTTAAAAAGTATGTGTGCCTACATACATATACGCTTATTTCATATGTACATATAAATTGCACATTTTACAATTAGATGATCTTAAATGTGTTTAGAACGCTTTTATGACATAGTAAAATTTAGATTAATATCATAAAGCTCTTATTGAAATATAAGTTAATTAAGCTAAAATTAAAGTATAATTTTAAACATTAAATTTAATAATAACTAAATAAGTGAACATATTGAATTAATATAAAAAATGTAGAGTATATTTTTGTAGATTTCATTTAAAAAGACAAAAATTGAAAAACATAAAACGGACAATAAAAGTTTTAATATTTTAGAAAAACATCATAATGCAAAAATGCATGTGTTCAAGAAAAATAAGGATGAAAATTTTATAATTGAAAATGTTTTCATTTTATATTTATGACACATTAATCAGCGCCAAATAATTTAAAAGGTATTGAAATAATAAGAATGATTATAAAAAATATTAATAAAGTGAAACATCCTTAACTTCTAAATCTAATTATTATTAATATTAACTTAAGTATTCAATAACTCTAATAATATTATTATAGTTATTAAATTGTTAAAATAAAACTGAAAAAAATAAATACTCAGCTTATTTTTAATATTTTATCCATTACATATAATAATTATAATCGTTTTTCTTTTTATTGGAAAATAAGTTATTATTAGATTGTAAGGAAGTTTGAAAGATTGTAGTAAAAACTTGAATATATCAAATCAGACAATTTTCAATGATCCTTTGGTTGATTGTAAAATAGGACTAAAAGCTTACTTTTTGTGTTTTTCTTTACTTAACAAAAAAAAAAGGGATGTTTAAGAACAATTTGTGATAAAACAATAACTTAAGTACGACATAAAATATTGTTTTTTCTCTTAAAAAAAAAGTGTGCCCCAAACAAGTTTGTTAATATGAAATTTATAGTTGGTGGTTTTTAGAAATCTACAAAAATTTCTTCGAACAGACATTTTTAGCATTTTTTCGCGTTTTTAGTTTACTTTTTGGTTTTGTTTTTTTTGTTTGTTTTTTGTTTTGGATTTTATAATATACTTTTGAATTTTTAGTTTACTTGATATATTGTTTTAAATTTACTTTTTTAATCTACTTAAAAGAGTTTATGATTATATAATATTATAATTAAATGATTATTATTTTAATTCAATTCATATTTTCTTCCATACTCAATTAAGAATAAGATATTTTACTAGAAATAAAAAATTTATTTTGGAATGTTAAAGTGATAAGTGATTCAATAGTTATTTAATCCATTAATTTATATTATATTTGAATTTTACATGATATTTTTTTTAACTAACTTAATAACATTTTTGATTTAATTTTAATATTCCTTTTTTAATTTTCGTCTTTTTTTTAATTAATATTTTTATATACATAGATTTATTACTTTTAAGACTCGCATATTATTTCTTGTTTTGCATTATTATTTGTTAGTATCGTAGTATATATATTCGCATGATAAATGTTTATCAAATTTAGTCTGTTCCGTCTATAATGTAGTAACTATGGGAATTTTAACTTAATAACTTTAAAAGTTTCTAATTAATTTCGTATATTTATGTATGTAATTTATAATATATTTCATTTTTGTATTATGTTGAAATATATATTTACATTTATTCTTCTCATTAATTGTTGGTCAATCATATTAAATTTTATAAATATGTACTTAGTTGGACGATTACGATAGATTAGAAAATGAGGTTCAAATCTTTATATTTTCCATCACATTAAAACCGTCTATTGCTATAGCATACTTATACCGAAATCTTAATAACATGCAAGTTCTTCATATTGCTAAATAGAAATCTTATGGAAAATGATAAAATAAAATGACTAAATGGAAAGTTTTCATTCAAATTACGTAAAATTTTTCTCCACGCATCAATTGATAAGAACTTTAAACACTCATAGAAATTTTTACCGATAAGTCTGAAGAGAATATAAATTTTGACCGTATACTGGACTTAATTGTAACGACATGAATTTTAATTTTAACCAATGTGTTGCTAATATTAATATGTTCCTCTATAAGTCTGTAAAATACAATTTACCAAACTTGTTAATTAAAACAAACTTGTGTTTTTGGTTTAAGATTCAGAATTTGATTGGGAAAGCAATTTTTGTATAAGATTATCGAATTTTCGGATATTCACGAGATATTTTATAAACTTGGTGAAGATGATGATTTTTGGAAGATGCAGATTTTGTAAAAAAAAGAGAGCGAAACACGTTATGAGAAAATGTGGGGATTTGATTCATAAAAATTATTGGGAACGCGCTTACGACTCTAGGACTGTGTTTTCCCGAGCATTATAACCTGCTCGAGTATCTGCACAGAATGATTTGAAATAAAAACCGAACTGTTAACTTGTCAGCATCATCTACAATTCTGTCGCTTCAGCAATTGTTGGTAACAATGGTTGTAGATGACGATAAACAAGATTCTGCCAAATTTGGTACAAGATCATGAAGGCAAGAAACTTTCAATTAACTAGAAAAATGGAAGCATTCTTTCTAAGAGAGAATTTAAAAATTCAACAGCCAAGGAAAGGAACCCTAAGATTTAATTTTGTTCACACTCTTTAGGATGAAAATTTTTTTTGTGCAATTAACAGCTCTTGTTATCATTTTATTTACCTTTTTCTGTTTTTAAACGAAATTGCTATAAATAATTGAATGTTTTAATTACCTATACAACAAATTGCAACTAGTCTGTAAATAAATATTCGAAAATTGCAATTTCAGTTATTCAAAATATTATAATTTCTTTTAATAATTTTTAAAATAATGTTTATGTATTCCGAGTTTGCATATTATTATATAATAGAGAAATAGAAAACAGATTTCAATTATTGAATGTCGCTATTGATTTCATTACAAAAAATGTAAGCTTCATCATCTACCGTTTTGTGTTGATGTACATATGTATGTTCAAATTATCAAAATATCTAAGTAATTGAAATGTTTTGTTTCTATATATTTAAAATATTTTGTGCTTTTTTCCCTGTTTTTAATTAATTTTGTAAAATTATGCAGTTTTGATATAGTTTTAAACTGTCGAAATTAAAAAGCGCTTTCTGTTTTTGCAGTATCAAAATATAGCAATAAACAATAATTATAAGTTAAACTATAGAAAGTTTAGGGTTTCAAAAATTTAAATTTGTGTGATTCAAAAGTAAATCTAAAAGTAAACTTTATGAAAACTTAATTATAGAGTAAAAGCAAAAAAATTTAAATTTTTTTGATTTAAAGTAAGTTATGTGCAATTTTAGAAGTAAAGTTATTACATAAATTATTGCAGTCTCATCTATAACTGGAACAAATTTATACTTAAACTATAACTAAACATAATTTACATAACTTTATGTTACATAATAGTTATACATAATTTACATAACATAAAGAAATATTTTCCTAGTTTAATATTAATTCATTTTTGTATAAAAATGCGTCTGGAAAAGCAGTAAAATTAGTTTTCAAATACATAGTTGGCAAATAACAATAGTAGTAATAGACAATTATATCGACATTCGTAATTGGTTCCATTATTTAATAATTTGCAATTATGTACTTAATTTTGCAAAATAAAAAATTTTCTTTGCGATAAATTTGATTTCAACTTAATATTTCTGCTTTAAACAAAGGTAAATTTTTAAATGAAATGATTATGTGCCTGATTCAAAAGCATAATCATAAAAAATAGTTTTAATTTATCACAGAAATTTAATATTTTAAAGTAGACTAATATTTTTTTAAAGTGCATAAATATTTGGAATAGATACTAATCAAATAATAAAGTTCTTGACATACGTAATTCAACTTTTTTTTTGAATTACTTGGTATTCATTTACATGCAGTGGTAACTTGCGCAAAAACAAGTATTAATTTCATTTTCTCCAAAACAAAATTTTACACATTATGTTAATATTAAAATTATATATCGTTATAAAAATGTGAACTAGTAAATAAATTTAAATTGTTAAAGAACTAATTAGCTGTTGACATAATTTTCCATACTCAAATTGATCGCCCGAAATGCGTCTTAGTTTGATTCCTTTTCCATTATCTTTGTTCCGGCCTTCACATAATTGTAGTTCAATTTGCAGTCCACTAGAATATTCCAAATTTAAATTTGATAAGACATCAACATTACTACTATGAGTTGTACTATAGGTAGCAATACCACCGCCACATATATTGCTACTTGACATTATATTGTCGGTATTAAAACTGTTTTCTGTATGCAGATCGCTAGTTGCATCAACAATTTTATTTAGTACAAATCCTTTGGGAGGTATAGTTGAATCTATTGTTTGTTTCACTAATTCGATTAATTTATCTGTATCTAAATTGGCGCATTCATGTGGCAATGGCACTTCATAACATTCATCTGATGACATACGTCGGCATATCTCCGATATTGAATCAGGGGTTAGTCTTCCAGATTCAGTTAATTGGTCACCAACTTCGGAGTGGGAATCATTTCCACTTTTGAAACCAGAGCTTGCTGCCGAAGGGGGCTCCTGGCCGCAAGGGGACAGTTGATTTGTAGAATCATTACTTAAACTGTCATCACTAAAACCTAAAGATTTATCACTACCTCTTCGATGATATGGATCATCAATAATATCAGAATGATCTTGTAAATGTGTTTTAATTATATTAGTTGATTGGCTGGTTGTTGTATTCCCTGAGCAAACACCTTCTGTTTCAATACTTGCTTTACGACCAACTCCCCTCGTTATGGATGGCATATCATTACTGGGTTCTGTTAATACTAAGCCTTGTAATAATACAGAACTATTGGTGTTTTGTGCTTCTAGTGAATCACAATCTGAATCACGACTATTTTCTGACGATAATGCTACTAAAGTTATTTCGCTACCTTGAACATCTGTCAAACATATTTGTGGATGCGATAATTGACTACCAGGAGATTCATCTCCACTCGCTATTAACATAGGACCGCTACAACTATCGCCACTAGATGGGCTTGAACTACTTCCATTTCCATTTCCCGATAAAGAATTTTCTTCTTGTATAATACATAAATTAGGTGAAGCTGGAGGTGTTGGTACGATTCGTACTGGTTGAGCTGGTGACAAATTTAGTGGTTTCAAATCATAAAAGCTTGGAGGAACAATCCAACCAGTAGATGAACTTGAAGTGTTCGAAGATTGATTAGTACCTGATGGATTTGAAGACGCGCCAGAAAATATTCCAGTTGATTGTTGGGAATCGTTTTCACCTATATCCATTGATAAATCTAATGGTTGATTAAAAGATGCAGCAGTTTCACTTGTTGCCGAAGTTCCGCGTGTGATAGAACCTCCACCTCCTGTAGTTAAACCGCTAATGCCTGATAATAAATAAAAATTTAAACATCCAACAAATTATATTCCTTAAATTAAAAAAGAAAAATAAAATACCTTTTGTGATTTGATGCAAAGGAGAAGCTCCTCCACCACCATAAAATGGATTTGGCGATGAACAACCACTATAACTTGAATAAATTGGCGAAGGACATCCACTACTATTGCTACTTCCAGTTAAATTGCTATTTAAATTCATTGCTAAATTGATTTGATGGCCACTAGAGCCATTCCCGCCAGTTCCACTACCTCCAAATGTTGGCGTATTATAACCACTTGCAGATGTCAGATATTTATTACTTGAAGTATTAGTTAACGGTGAAACACTATAACTGTATTGATGTTGTCCGATATTATCGAATTGATTTAATTTTTGATTGGTGTTTACAACTAAGCCCAAATGTTGCGCCAAATCATGTGGTATTTGTCGACTTGACACAATATTCTTTGCCATGTCAACACTTAGGCGATTTTCTTTAACTAGATGGTCTAATGCAGGCACTATTTTCATTATAACATCTATCGGTACTTCAATGCTTTGGCGTAAGAAATTTGGCGAATTTGAGGGTTTCCCATGAATTGGAGAACCTATATTAAAAAATATTTACAAGAACAAAATTTTTAACAAAAAATGTTAAAATAAAATTAAAATAATTACCTGGCAAACTGATGGAATTATCGAGGGGTGGTGTTATTAAGAAGTTTCTCTGGGCAATACCTTTTTGAAGATATTGGCACTCTTGAAGTGGACCTTGGAACTGTGTTTTACTACCTTCAGAAGCCCGTCGAACTGGACTATACCGGCCTAATGAAACAAAATGTTAAATTTTATTTTTATAGTTGAAATAAAAAAATTAAAAAGCTAGAAGCGGATGAGGCACTCAACAAAATACATATATATAATAAAAAAAAATAAAGAAAACATTTTCAAGCTTAATGACATCAATTTTACTTTTTATTTTCTATATTTTGTAGAACATTTTTTATATTGCAATCGTAAAGAAAGTAAAAAGCATTATTTATTTCAACTAATAATTAAAACAATGTAACAGTTGAAATTTTTGAAAAACAATAAAAAACCAGTAAATCGATACGTTTATTTCTCCACAAGCAAGTCTGTTTTCATAACAGAAATCTTGTACTATAGCTATGAAGCAATTTTTTATTTTTACCGTAATAGTTAGTAAATCCTTATAAATGTACTCTAGTGATGATTTGTTAGTTCAATAATCATATAAGTAATATTTGTTGGTATAACCAATTTCCAAACCAAATAAATAAAAAAAAAATCCTTACCAACTTCTTGAACAGTGGGCAATTTTCCAGCCGCCGATGCTCTAACATAGCGACGACTGCCCATACAAATTGTTGATGATGATGGCATTGTCAATAACGGCAAAGATAATGGAGTAGATAAAGATTGTGTATATCCAGTTACATTGCTCTGATTATTGTTGAAATTATTATTGCTACTGTAACTATTTGCTGCTGATAATAAACACGACACTGCTGCTGCAACAACTGATGAAGAATTGGATGCACATGAAGAGGATGTTTTTTGTGAATGTTGACAAATTAAACTTGGTGGACTTTGTGTTTTTTGTAAATGAGCTAAGTTTGAATTTTGCATTTTAAGCGCTGGTGGTAAATAATTACGATTCATACGAGCTTCTACTTCGCGAATTAATTCTGGGCTTATAACTAGGTGGTTATTATTTTAGTTTTGTTTTTTTGTTTCATTTTTATTTAAATAATTATTTATATTTTTTTAATGAATATGTAATTTAAACAAAAATGATTTTCAATTTGTTTGTTGTACAAAATTGTTAATTTTAGAATTAATCATAAAATTGAAATAATTTAATGTTTTTAAAAAACGCAGAGAGCACAATATAAGCAAATTCGCACATTTTTTATTTTGCGAACATAATTTTTAATACATTTGAAATTATAGCACACAAATTAATGAAAATTATTATTCATGTACATTATTTTAATTTAAAAAATTAGTTTATAAATTATAAAAATAAACATCCAAGCAGGAAAAAATTTAACACAAAAAAGAAATAAAAATAAAATAAAAAAATATTTAAAAATTAATAAAACTAATTATTATACAGGTAATAAAAAATTAAAAATCAACACTTTCGCCGGTAAAATAAAGTTTTCCTTTACAAAAAAAATAATAATAGTTCAACTACTAAATATTTTTAATTTTTCCTTTAAGATTTCCCGTAAGCAGCATTTGATTTCTGTTCAATCCCTTTACAAACTCAAAATAAAACAAATTTCTTCCTTATCATAATAATTTTAAAAATGTATGACAAAATTTGTCAAAAATGTTCTTTAGATTTTGAAGTGTAAGGATTTTTCGCAAAGATGATCTTATACTTAATTATTAAGGAAAAATTTTAAGTGGTATTTTTGAAAATGTGTTGAATTAGGAAAACTTATAATTTCAAAACAAAATTTTCTGTTTGAAATACACATTTATAAATTATACAAATTTATTTAAATTAATTTATAAGTACTTTATACTTGATTGAGATAATTGCTTTTGAATTAGAATCAATAGCAATATTCCCAATCAAGAGAAGATCAATAATTATGGAATAGAATGTCAAAAAAATCAATTTTCGTGTATTTTTTTTTTGTGTATAATAAATACTTCGAAAATATATGACCAAACCACGAAAGTGCAAGAACAAAAAAAATGTAAAATATCTAGTGATGTAACGGCAAAATGGGTACTTATACAAAATAACAAAACATGCGGTCAAAAAATCTTTTTGTTTTGCAAAAATTAATTTGCCAATATCGGTTCAAAAATATATTTTGACAATAATTACCTGGTGGTCTTTCCATAACAGTTAAAAGTCCAGTACGTCTAGTTCTGCTACCAGACTGTGGTGCTGGCGAGTGTGATAAAGTAGCATCTATAGCGCTTTCAGATAAATCATCAGTGCATCCAACTGTATGTCGTTTTGAAGAACCACGGATTTGCATGTAGCTAAAAAAAAAAACAAAAATAATATTGAAATTTAATTTCTTTAGAAAATACTTAAAAATTAGAATTAAAATATTTACCGTTGAATTTCATCACTAGTTTCTTCACCAGTTTCGGCTGGTATGTGACCCATCGCACCCAATAATGAAAGTTTTTCGGTAAATAGGTTCATATTTTCATGTTGATTTAATTTTATTTCATTAGGATTTTGATAATATCCTTCAATTTGTGTTCCACATGATTGCTGACTTTGTTGATGTAATTGACTCGCCTGTTGTTGTGAGTGATGTATATTACTTGTTGACGTTGGATATATTATATGTAGATTAGCTCCGCCATCAGAAGCACGTCTTCCAAATGCATTCGCTTAAAAAATGTAAAAGATTATTTATAACCCGAAATAATTAAAAAAAATCACAAAAAAATGGAAAATAATTTACTTGCTCCCATAACAGTTGGAGGTTTTAATAAATGTTGATCTTTGAATGTTAAATTTTGTAATGGTTGATTTTGTAACATAGGTAAATTTGTAATTGGCAAATGCTGCGTTTCTTTATCATCGTATTTGAAATTTATCGGAACATTCGGATTGGCTAAAGCTTGTTCATGTGCTACATCACCAGGCCCAACAGTATGACGACGTGCATTACCTTGTGCCACAGATAGGGTCATTGGATTTTGAATGGTAAGATGATTATCACTTTGCTGTGAAATTAAAAATATTTTTATTTTAGAATTGAAGAAATAAGTTTATAACTCCTAAAAATATTTTTATTTACCTCGCCTTTATTCACAAGATTACTACTATCATCAGAATCGAAAATTTCTAACTCTAGGGGAGCATCAGTCCAACCAGATAGGGAGGCCGAAAGTTGTGTTGTATTTGTGAGTGGACTTAACCGATCTACGGATTCTTGTTTAACTGGCTCCGAACGATCAACTACTCCAGTTGTAATACTTGTTTTACGATTTCTGAAATTGTTAATATTTAACTTAATTAAATAAATGGTAATTAACATAAATATCAAAAATAGGTAAATTATTGTAATATTAACATTTTTTCTTTAAATACTCATAACTAAATAAATTAGATCATGAGAAATTTTTTTACTTTTTAAACAAAAAAATATACCTCGAATAAGCCAGATTGGCATGGTGTTGCAATTTTTGCTTTTCTCTGCGTTTCATTTGCAGCTTGTCGTAAAGTAGATTATAAATTGCGTATACGTTATCAAAACGGTTTTCGTGTACTGATTGCGCAATCATATCCGCAGTTAAACCAGGTAACTGTAACATATGTGTCATAACGGTTGAATCCAAATTATTTAATTCATTTTGATTGTTAGCAGCTATTTTTACATCGTCAATCATGGAATGCCATTCGATTAACCATCGATGTTTTGAAATTTGTTCTAATGTATAACGTCGATCCGGCTCAACAACTAGCATATGACGTATAAGATGCTCACAGTCTATATTATATTTGATAAAAAATTTACAATTTAAAAAACTAAAAAGTAAATAAAATACCTTGTGACATAAAATATGGAATTCGAAATTTTCCCGTAACAACACGACTTTTCAATTCTAACAATGTATTACCATCAAAAGGCAATGCACCACATACTAAAGCATATAAACAAACACCTAAACTCCATATATCCGCTTTAGGACCATCATATTCAAGGCCTTGAAATACTTCTGGTGCAGCATATGGTGGTGAACCACACCATGTCGTTAGTGGGGTTCCATGATGAAAAGTATTACTAAATCCGAAATCAGCAAGCTAAAATCAAATTTAAAATGAAAAAAAAAACAAAACACAGAAATGTTTTAAGCCAAATTAAAAACCACTTCAACTACCTTAATATTCATATCCTTATCTAATAATATATTTTCGGCTTTTAGATCTCGATGTACAACACCTTTGGAATGGCAGTATTCAACAGATGTAATTAATTGTGCAAAAACTCTTGCAGCTTCTTGTTCTTTCATCCGTCCATTAATAACTAAATGATCAAAAATTTCTCCATGTGCTGCGTATTCTGTCACTAAATATATCATCGTTTCGGATTGCATAACTTCATATAAACGTGTTATGTGCGGATGTTGTAATAACTTTAATATTGAAATTTCACGAAAAGTTTTCGCCAAATATTCGTCATTTAGGCACGTCTTATCAATAATTTTAATTGCAACCTAGAAAAAACAAAAATAAAAATAAGAATTTAAAATTTTTGTATCTATTTTATGAGATTTCTCTTATAGTTTTTAAAATTTAATTTATCTTGTGCAGATATCAATAAAGATCAGAAATTTTCAGGTTTTAAAAGCAAAATGGATAACAAATCAGAGTCGAATATAAAAAAACACCACATATTTTCAATCAACTAATATTTTTTTCCAATAATACTACAAAATTGCATAAAACGTGAATACTAAAAACAAAAACGGGAAAAAAAAATTTTAATTTTTTTTTAATACTAATAATAAGTACTAAAAAAATTAATTTAAATATTTAGAATAGCAAAATTTATTCATTTACTTAATAAAAAATTAAAAACAACATGAGAAAGGACAGAAAAAAAATAAAGGATAAAAACATTTTGAGCATAGCAAAAGGACAAAAGTGAAGGAAAGTTTTGCATTTTTTTTACTTTTTTACCTTTAAAAATTGTAAAGGCATTAACAAGGCCAGTTTTTATTTTGTATATTTACCCATACAAAATATACCCATAAAAAATTGATTTTCATTCAGATACCTGGGTGCTTATGAGAACGCAATCCTTATTTAACAAAAATGCAATATACTTAATATTATGGAAAATTATTTAATTTTGTCAAAATTTTAGACCTAATTAAGCGATTTATGCAGTGGGTAATTTTGTTGATTAGTTTAATTTATTGTCTTAATTTCAATTTATTGCACTGTATTTGTAATCCACGCCAGTACTCATTTATGAATTAACTGAAGTCTTATAGACGTTAAACCCGAAACTATTTGTATTGAATAGGTTCTTTATATGTTTAAAAATATTTCCAAATTTTCTTTAAAAATCAAAGATAATTTTATAAATTGGAAAATTTAGAAAATTCAAGTATGGAATAAATATTTGTAGGAAAGACTTCATATAAATAATAAAATTGAGTTGTAAAGTAGAAGATTTCACTTATAAAATTGGTTGCAACCAAAAAAATTGTAATTGTTTTTTGTAAAAATTGTGTTTTAATTACTTATACTATTCTTTCAATATCCGTTATATTTCGTTTTATGTAATATAATAGAGATTTTCATAAACGCAATACTGCAAAACAATAAATACGAAATGCAATACTGCCAAAACATAACGTCATGAGCATGCAATATACCATTTTAATAAATTACTTTTTAATATAAATTTGCAATTCTGGAAAAAATTTGAATTATCTTTATTATTATTATTATATCTCAATTTCAATTATCAATATTAAATTTTAATGATTACAGTTATATTGAAAATTACAAAATTCGTATAAGTACTTAGTTAAAACATTTTTTAAATTGTAAAATTATAAAAAAGTCAAAATGACTGCAATACAAGACGGAAAAATTATTAATACATATTGAACCTTGAACGTACGTATATACATATATGAGTACTCACATATATATGTATGTATATACAACTTAAATTAAATACACAAAATATTTTGCGAGAACGTTTCTATTATTTAACATGGTAATATAGATTTTTTGTTCTTTTTTTATAAAGTTTTGAATTAATTTTCATAATATTAAAATAGTTATTTTTGGATTAAATATAGCAAAATTTAACTTTGAATTTATAATAAAACTATTTTTTTTTAAGAATTTTTGTATTGTTTTTCTGTCGTATTTTCATTTATAAAAAGGACAAATTTTTTGTTTACACAAGAAAATATATTTAGTGTAAGTATGTAAATACTTACATGGGCATACAAGAATTGTCCGTATTGAAGTTAACCAAGTGCAAATTGATAAATACAAGTATGTATAAATGCATGTACTTAATATGATCATCTGCAGTACAATGTTTTTGTAAAACATATATATACGATTATGTGATGGCACCAAATTTCAGATGTCGGGTTTTGAGTGGGAACGCAAAAACATTATTAAAATTACTTTCATTACGAAACCATTTCAAGGATTGCATATATTTAGGACGAACGATTTATGCAATTTTTGAATTTAAGTAAAAATAAATTTAAAGACGTGTTACTATAATGTGCAATTACAAGGGTAAACTGCCTGAGTTAAGAAAAATAATTATAATTTTAATGGCATGGCTTTTTTTCTGTTTAATGTTGAAATATGGTATGCCACGGCAAAGGAAACCAGCCACTATTTTTCAGCGTTTGCAAAATTAGAAAAATGCTTATGGTTTCACTCCAACAAGTAGTTAAAAAATTACATTTTTAGGATTTTCGGGGCTATAACTTTTAGAGGGCGGGAGATAAGTAAAAATTTTTTTCTACGGAAATAAGTTTCTAGTAAAGATCTATGTATATAAAAAACTTTAGCTTCCTATCTTTCTACCGCTACCTATAATAAATTATAGTTATAAAAACAACATGCTCCTTTTTAGTGTAGTGTTAAGTGTCACTTAGTTTTTGCATTTCTTATTTCTAAAATAGAAAAAGATATATAAATACAAAAAGGTGAAATTATTTTTTTTATTAAATTTGGTTTTAATTTTTTCAGGAGGTTTTCAGCACTAAAAACATTAACTTATTTGATAGTTTTATCTTATAATCCAAATAAATTCAAAGTCATCTCTAGTACTTTGTATTCGAATTTTGGGCCCAACTATAAACTTGAACTTAAATTAAAACGAAACTTTTTGTTATTATTTTTTCTAGTTCATAATTATGACACACTGAACAATGAGTGAACACTCCAGGGTATTACAATGTGTTTCTTAAAGGTATGTTCAAAAATACGGCAAGAATTTGCGTTACAAAATTTAATGAATGACGCTAATACTAAATAAATTATGCGCACGCATTAAATATTTTTGTAAATTATTGTCACTTATCTTATATAAAATGTATAAAAATGTGTAATTTAGTATTATGGCAATGTGATATTAAAGTATAATCATCAGTTATCTTAGTACAATAATTTCGTACAATAATGGTTACTTAATCTAAATGCTTTTTGATTACTTATTTCTACAAAAAAAAAAAAACATAAAAAATATTGAACAACAGAAGAAATCAATTAACATGTTATCTCAAGAGCAATCCAGGACAAGTGAAAGTAAAAATTTGAAAAATTCTATTGCATTTTCGTATTGAACAAGATAACTAACTCAATATGTAAGTAATTTTAGAACTATTACAAACTATTTAATAAATTAAAGCATAAGAAAAAAATTAATTTAAAGTCCAAAATTTTTGTTTTAAATTTGTAAAATATTTGCCGGAATTCTGAAATTTATTTCAACAGCTGAATATTGCATACATTTAAGCAATTTGTTGAAATTTACAAGTGGTTACTTAAATTTTAAAAATACAATAATGACTTTTTTCCAAAATAAATAATAAAAAAATAATTTTAATTAAACAAATAAATAAAGTGAGCCAATATTTAAACATAAGGTTCAAGAAATGCCGCTTGTTTTCTTTTTGTTTTCTTTTTTGTGTTTTGCGACTTAGGAAAACATTTAAAAGAATTTTTAAAATATAAAAGTGAAAGTTGCATGAACTAAAGAAGAATACTCTTGATTATGTTGTTATGTAGGTATGTGTGTATGTATGCGTATTGCATTTAATAAAAGAAACAATGCAGACGGATAACATTGAAACCTACAAAACTATTGACTAAACGTAAAAAAATTTTCTTTTATTTTCGTATAAAAAATATATTTGATTTCTCAAAATCAAAGTTTTAATTAACACTTTTCTAATTTTATCACTGACAGCAGGATCGTTAATACTCTTTCAAATTGATAGAATCTGACAATGTATGGTACTTAAAATAAATTTGATATTGTTTGGAAATTTTGATAAATTTAAACATTTACAGCTTTAATTTGATATTCTGCTCTAGCATTAAATAAAAAACTTTCAACTACTTTGAAACTACAGTTCGGTATTATCTTAAATTATAATTATTTCTTACGATTTTTTATCAACTTCCTTTATTCAGAATTAATGAGTACAACTTATAAAAGTTGGTGCTTACATATAAAATTTTTTGATTTCAATTATCTTAACAATTATAGATTAAATAAGTGCTATAATCAAAACTGTATGATTACGGTTTTAAATGCTTGATTAAATGTTAATTTTCTTAAAAAAAAAATTATTAAAGATTACACATATATTTGACTACTTATAATTCTCGAAAATATCATCAAAGTCAATACTAAGAAAATATTATCCTTGAGATCGTGTTTTCGGCGCAAACGTATTTTATGCATTATATTAGTGTTTCTTAATGCATATTCGCAACATTTGTGAATTTGCCTAATACTAAAGGCTAAAAACTTCTTTACATTGGTTTTTATAACGCAGTCATTTTTCTTATTTTATAATTTTGTATTAGTTTTACAAAAAGTGCAATTACAATTTTTTTCTTCTTTAAATGTCAATTTTAATGTTTGTGTATACTTTCATCCGTATTTCATCAAAATTTTATTAATAATGTTTTTGTTTGATTTTCTAATTCATCAAATTCTTCTTTTAATTCCTTCATTTCTTTTTTATTCTTTTCTTTCAATTTATTTATTTGATTATTAATTCCGATGACACGTTCTCGTATATTTGATATTGGACATTTTGTTAAGCTTTCTTTATTATTAATATCTTCTTTAATTGAATTTATAAATATCCACATATCATCTAGATCACGTTTCGTATACATTTTATAATCATTTAGTTCTTGTTCCAAAGAATGTCGTTTATCTTCAATCTCTTGTATTTTACGTTTTATATCAATTTCATCGAAATCATCTGGATTAAATTTAAGTTGACTGCATTCTAAATATTTTCTTTGTGATTTTAAACGTGTTAATTCACACAATAAAGCTGTTGTAGATTTCTTAACAAATTTTGAATTTGATGTATTTGTTGTTCCTGTTGATGATGAAGTTGATTCAGATATACTATTTTTTCTATCGGATGAAGTTGGTGTATCATTTTTTAATTGCATTGGAAATGGTAAATCAGTCATTGTTTTTTTCTTAATTAATAATTTTAAGTTTTCCTTTATAGTGATTTAGTTGAAATTTTGAAAAAAATTGTGTTACAGTTTTTACGAAAATTTATTGAAGATTGTAAAAAAAAATATGCATTCGGTTGTCAAAATAGTTTACGATTTTTTTTTTGTTCCTTATTATTTTTGTATGTGTGTTTAAAAATCGTATACGTATTATAGCTTTAATAAATAGTTTTTACAAGACAATAATATTGTCAAAAAACAAAAAATAAAATGAAAAAAGATAAAAAACATAAAGTAAAAATTGATTGGTTACTAGGTTCCAGGACATTGACATGAAGTGTTGTTTATGGTAACAATTGAATAAATACAAATAAATAAACACGAATAAAAGTTTAATCAATAATTGATTTTATTGATTACTTATATTAATTGAAAATTTAAAAACAATTCCTTATGTCCGTGTGCAACTACAAATTTTAAATTAAAATTCAACATTACAATTTTACATAAGTAAGCTAATATTATATAAGTATTTACAAATATGCAATAGTAATCGTTGTTTAAATAAATTGATATTAATTAAGGTACACATATGATGTATGTATGTATGTATGTATGTAATTACAAAACATGATATACTTTTATATGCAGTTATTAAGATAATATAATTAAGTACATACATATGTATAAATGTATACACTTTTTGGAGCATTTGTAAAAAATATACATATGTATACGTGTATATTATGTAGATAAGTTAATCGACAAATATACATAAAAAAATTCGATGTGGCCAGTTAAAACCTTGTATAAAATTATTAAAATTTCCTTTAAATATTTATTTCAAATTCTATAAAAGATAGAAAAAAGTTTTTGTTTAATGTACCCGGAAAAATTTTAATTTGGTTCTTAGAAGGAACTCTGTAGCTGAATTATCAAAAAGACCGATCTATTCGCCTAATACTAGTTAAATTTTTAAAACAACCTTCATTGCAATGCTCACTGCATAAGTACGATAAATGTAAGTAATTATGTAAATTTGTGTTGAGATATTCCAAAAAACAAAAAAGTAAAATTCGTAATTTAAACGTAAAAAATTGAGTATTTCTTTTTGTTCTCCAAACAATTACATTGAATTACCTACATAAAATACAACACAATTAAATAAAATAAATATTAGAATTTTAGAAAAATTACTTAATATTTTAATCATAATTATCTCTTGTCAACCAGCTTTGCTCATTCATATTTTAATATTATTACTAGAAATTTGAGGTGAATTTTAATTGATTTAACAATTTAAAAAGATTTTAATCGAAAATTCTATATTCTTTATGAAATGTTATTAAAAAAAATTTTAATTGAATTAAACCAGTAGTTTGTAAGAAGCACATTTCCCTTAAAGATTTTAAAAGCTCTTTTAAGAAAATTTAAGTGTTATTTATATGTCCTCTTATAGCATATTTTTCAGATAAAAACATAAAATATAACATGTGCATAATTAGAAATCCAATTGCACGGCAAATATTGTTACTTATTTGCTTTTATGAAAAATTGGGAAAGCTAGCAGTTTCACACAAATATTTTATTCTGTTTTGAGAACAGAGAAATAAATATAAGTACTATCTTTAACCGTTTTGTAGAGTTAAAAAATTGTTTAAGAATTCGGCCCATACTAACAAGTCTAAAAATTGTGTTTTTAAGGTTTTTGGTTGCCTGTTTTTTTTTTTTTCAATTTTATTGGAAATATGCTAAAAACAGAGATCTTTGTTATAATTTACATTTGAATTGATTTTTACATAACATTCTCAGTATATGCTTATTGAATTTATCTACAATACTAAAACAATGGCGACTAAATATGTTTTGAAATAAGTACATACATACACATATTATATATGTATATATATATATGTATATGTTTGTAAAGCTATAAGTACATATTTTACTTTAGTTGCAATTAAATTATTGATTTTATATCAATAAATAAATTGGTTGTAAAAAAAAAAGAATGTAACATGGACACGTTTTTATAAAAACGTTTCCCTTTTATACTACAAACATAAAAAAAGCAGAAAAACAAAAATAAGCAAAAAAAAAATATACTTTTTACGTAAGAAAAAAAAAAGCAAGAACAAAAATGTAGCAAAAAAAAAACTTTTCAATTTTCAAGGATTTTTTTTTCTTGATATTTTATAGACACACTATGATTCTCATGAATAAAATCATTGAAAAAAGTTCATTAAAAAACAATGAAAAAACGAAATAAATCGAAAAATCTCTTTAGAACAGAAAAACACTTAAAAAAAAATTACTTATTATTCACTTTAAAAATATGCTTTTCACAAAAGCACAGCACATTTTACATATCAAACTTTGTTCACAGAATTTGTTTGATTTGTCATACAGTTTGATAAGAGTTTGACATTCGTCGACTTGTTCGATCGAAATATAATAACAATCAATTCCAATCAACTAAATTCATAAACAATGTTTGATATCTAAACGCTGACTAAAACTCAAATTCGCAGCTCCTGATACCAGGGTTAGGACGTAAAAGATTTTTCATCGATTTTATTTTATTTAGTTTAAAATGAGGTAAAAGATCGTTTTACATGGATTTAGTTTAAGTAGAAAAAGTGAAAACATTATTTTCATCGAACCATCTTTAAAGTTTTTTTGTTATACACGAAATATTCGCTATGAAGATCAAATTTTGTATAATCGATTTAAAAAATAGTTATATGCATAAATTCCCCGTCGTCTACTTTAAGAAATCAAGAATTGTTACTTATGTAATCCTATTACCATTTGTCCTTAATTAATTTCATTTTTATTTTTATCAAGTTGCAACTTAATAAGTACTTTATATTCTTTGAAATAAAGTCTTTGCTAAGTTATCTGAAGTGTATTAAATAAATTTTACAAAAGGTTATCATTTGCAATCAATTTAAAAGAAGGCAAATATTTTTAACATTACTGCGCTTGTCTTAAATTTTTTTGTTAAAACTTGTAATCAATACTTATGTTCGCCTGATTTTCAATTAGACTGAAGTTTTAATTTAGTTTTATTTTCCGACACCAAAATACACGGATATACAATTCAAAACTAAGTCATTAAACTTGGAAAAAATCTAATCGCAAGTACCGCACTGTTGCAGAAGTGTGAAAGTCCTATATATTCATATCTTTATAGTTTTGCGAAAAAGGTTTATAGTTTCTTTACTTGCAATTAAAGCTTTCATGATATATTATTTATAAGTATAAGTTAAAAAATTATATAGTCAAATTCAGTTACTTGTTTGGTTGATTGACCAACCCAATTAGCATAAATGGCCCATTTCGCCTTCATCACCACATGATCACTATAGGCCTACCTACGCTACCCGGTTCTTTTGAGGAATCCGCCCAAATCCTCGATGTCAATTTTCGATATCTCGTCCAGTTCCGCCACGCTTTCTTTGCTCCACGATGATTATCTTGGCCCTACTCAGAACTGGGAACTTGCAGATATTGTGAAAAAGAGTCTCGCCAGGAGTCCACTCGCTTTAAAAAGGTATTTTGATCACATCTTTGCAGTATTGTTGGAAACAAAAACCCGTTTCGCCTCGGAAATTTTCATGGCGAGCCACACCTAGTCAACTTATCCATCCGTTTATTTCACACTGTATTTTGGTGGAATGGGACATTACAGCTCCCTACAGCGCTAGCCACGCGACATTGTTACCCACAAGTTACAATAGGCAAATAGTCACAATATGACGAAAATTTCCGGCTAAAAGACCTTTGGCGCGTTAGGAATCTAGCTCGATCCAGATACCTCATGTGTCAATTTTCAATTAATGTGTGTCAAATTAATATTTGAAAATTACGGTTCAATTGTTTTTACTGCTACACTTGTTATACACTATTGGTAAATACGGTAACCTTAAATCTCTAAAAAAAAAAATATTCTATACAATCATCGTAATTATTTTCTTTGGCTTCCTAAACAAATTTTTATTAGAGTTTTGCGATTATGAAGGAATATCGATTTATTATATTGAATGTAATAATAATAATTATAATAATATAATAATGATAATAAGAAAATAATGACTTATTTAATAGTAAAACTAACAAGAGTAAATACTGAACAATCACTAAGAAAGAAATTGCTAATACAACACGTGCATAGCTTAAGCATGTATTTGAGAATAATGCATTTTAACCTAATTTTTTGTTTTAACAAAGGATACTAACACGAATTCAATTCCTAACGAAAATTCTTACGTTAAGTGTAGTGTATAGCATGCAGACAAATACCTGCAGTTTTAAGAAAAAAATTGTTAAGTCGAAAAATTGTATTTCAAGAAAATGAAGTTCAAAGTTTAAAATTTAATTTTTCGTAGAAAGAAATGTTATTGCAGAAATAAGTGAAGCCGGTTTGGTCAATATGACGTTGATTTGTTGAAACACGACAAAAATGAATGCATTGCCAATATTATATTGAAGATATTCCTATATTCCTATATGGAAAGTAGTATCTACTTATGTTTTAATTTTAAAATTATTTATAAAGTAATTAAAATGATTACTTAATTTTTACATATTGTTATTCGACAGAAATTCGTCAAATCGAAATTCCGGAAATAAATGACGGAAAAGACTTCCATTAGGTTTTCATCAATCTTACGGTGTGAATAACATAAGCTCATATTTATTTTATATTTAATACGATTATATTCACTAAGTAATAGCAATGTGAGAGATCACCAGACAGCAGACGATAAAAAAGGCGAATAATATGCTTACTAATTTAATTTTAACAAAGAATCTATATTCTAGTAGGTGAAATTCTCACATACATATACATTATAATTAAGTTTTATTCAACATATTTTTTGTGCACATTTTGCATTTTGTATGCGCCTTTTTTTATTACTATCATAATTCTATGCAATAAATAAGAATGTTCAAAAATTTAAATAGTTTTATTATAAGGTCGTTTAATGAGGTATTGAGCTTGCTCT